TGTCCAAGTTCTTCTCGCCGTCAGCACGTCTTGTTGACAAGTCGCCACTGTCTTGGTTGTCAATATCATCGTTCGCACCGTCTATGACAGTATGAGATATGTTGGCCACACCCATCGTCCCAGCCTGACCACCGTGAAATGAGTATTGGAAGTCCCCACTCAGTTCCCATCCTAACCAGAAAGTCTCCTTGTCACCTGCAAATAGTCAGTTTGTCACTCTAGCTTCTCGGCGGCATGATCAGTCAACCTACCGTAGACCATGTCGTAAACTCCAACAGTCCCTTTATTCTCTTCACCGTCTCGATCTGGTCCGTTCATTCTCGTGACCAGTAACAAAGCCATGAAATGTTGCCACTTGTCGACAACGATCACTCCCGATTCCTGCATATGACTGCTTTCTCCCGTCCAAAACCGGTTTTGCTTCACCTGCGCAGAGAATGGTCTCGGTAGGACTTGCTGCACCCACCTTTTTCTTGGTTCGGGCATGAATAACCTATCCTTGAAGAAAAGAGCCCCTGTTTTCTGGTAGGCCGGTTCATCAAATAAGACGTCTGGATTCTGAAAGAATGCGCTGTCTGCGTCAATGAAAATCACTTCCCGAAAACTCGAGAGCAAGATGGCAAAAGGTTTGATGGCCCATCCAGCCAACTTCCACCCATCATCGTTGACCATCTGAGACACATCTCGAGTGACAACACCTCCAATTGCCTCTAACTCTGCCCGATAATCCTCGGACAGATCAGAGTCACCGAGATACATAACCTCAACAGGGAGAGTACAGCCGAGTTGACCTATATTTTCCAAGGTCAGTGTGTCCCTCAAGTAGTATTTGGGGCTACCCTCACGGAAAGAGTGTATTGTTGTCATAAGGAAATGTGCCTGTGCATCACCAGCTGTCAAGACGATGCCTCGGCCAGCCCTCTCAAATTGCAGATGCAACGACATGTGGTTAGCTGCAAAGGGTGCTGTGTATGGGAATAGCAACTGCCCGAATTGAGCAAGAAAGTACTTGTATGTCTCATAAGCACGAATGAGTTGGCCGATTGAATGGGTTGACAATATGCCTGAGGTCTGGCCATTGATGTCGCCACTGATTCCAAGCTGGGTCAGGTACCAGACGATATCATCCCTGATACGTGTGATGCCATCTGCATCCGTCACAAAGTGTAACCTTTCCCAAGCGTCAAAATACTCCTGGTAAGAACGAGTCCGGAGGCCCACCTCCCTCAACTTGTCTTTTCCCGTCCCTTCAACGGGTCTCAGGAGATCACGCATAAGCATCTCCCCTGGCAACAGATGAATCACGCGGTTGAGTGCGTTCTCCAGCTCCTCATCTCGAGAGAAGTTCGGTATGCGCATTCCTTGCTGCGCCCCATGGTGTACAGAGCTGCTTGTCTTTGGGCTTTTGCCAACAGAGAAGTCTTTAGGATGAAGACCTCCTTCGAACGACGATGATGACCAAGAGGTAGATGCTATGGGTTTCTTGAGGGTCTCCACAAACTTTGACGGCGAAATTTTACTGTCAAATGTCGACCTTTTCGGCAGTTTTGCTATCTTTCCAGAGACATCCTGTTGACGTGTGTTTTGGAATGGTGTCGCAACCGAGGAGCGGAGTTGACGGACATCGAGCAATGGCGACTCTTTCGATCGTGCAAGGTTAGTGTTCTGGCTCCCTGATCCAAGTAAATGGAGAGCAATTCTCATCAATATGAAAATCACGACAACAACGCTCGCCGTCTTCTTGGATAATGCTTGACATTTGCGCTTCTGCTCCATACATGGCAACCCTGGACGTGACCTCCCTTCCTTTGGAGGCCTCCGTATATTTTTGAGATTCAGAATCATATTCGATGGTTGGTAACGATTAATCCATCTCTAAACTGGCCTGAAGCATTTCCTTCATCTCTGGGAAGTAGGCACCCAAAGTGGACCAGCCTACTAGAGAATACACTTGCATACTCGTATGCGTGCTCCGTCCGCGTGGAGATAAGAGGGGCATGCGGATATGCCAAGTTGAGAGGAACAGGAATGGTCCCTTGGGCCAGGCCGTCACTCTATCCGACTTCCGATTGGATCACTTTGGTCGGTGCGCATTCAATAGTACGTGGTGCACTGGCCGTCGAGAGGGATGTGCACTCTGCGCACAGACACGTCGGGATGAAAATGGCCATCGAAGGGCAACAACAAAGCTTCCTAGCAATGGCTCGCTTGATCAGCCAACTTATCCTAAAGCCTCGAATTTACTAAGGAGTTTTCGGGAAGATCTGCGACTTTGAGACATCAACACTGACCTGCGCGACGATCTCCAGTCCCTCTTAAGTCGCCGAGACCTGTCACCGATCAGATGAAGATCGCAGTTCCCCATCGCCATCGTCATCGTACGATATATTTGCCGGGTCCGAAGGCCAGAGCATGCCGCGCTGTAATAAAGATGATGCTCGACGCCATAATGCACGTGGTGCGACAGCCATGTGTTCGATCCAATTAGTAGGTGGCGTCTAGGCTTTCTGAAAGCATCCTTGAATATGGACCAGTTGCCGACCGAGTTTAACACGGGCACAGTGTTTCGAACGATGGCCGCTGTTCTAGGTCAGGCTATAGTAACCCCAGTTGATACCTAGTCTCAGCCTCGGGCGTCCTCGAACCCATTTTCGTTTTGCCGCTCGTACCAGGTATTAACTTTGAACCAAAATTACCGCGCCCTGGAACTTACTTTGACGTGATTAGGTATTTTTAAACTTTTGATATAGACCTTGACTGCTATACCGTCGAGAGTCGAATGCTTCCCATGCGGCTATACGGCCTGTCGGCTGGGGAGCTGAGTGAAATGGCGCATGTTTCAGTCTGCCGCGTGCTTGTTCATCCTAGGCGAAGGCTCCTACACCTACTCTCATCACTTTAGAATTTCAGTAGTTCACCTGCACGTAGGATGCCTGGATGTCCATGTATCAGCTGAAGACGACGGAAAGAGGGCCCACAGCGTATCGTCAGCACTGTCAGTACATCAGGATACATGACTGGTGGTATCTTTGGTTTCACAAGCACCGAAGGGACTGAATAATCTAATTACCTGGCTCAGGCTGTATGTTTCTGGAGTAGAGCTGGTCAAACTTCAAGTGATATGGTGGGGTGGTCCCATATCGTATTCACGTCCGTCGAGGTATCCACGTTCTGCGTTACTCAGTGCTGCCCTTCAATAGGACCTCTCTGTATTGAATGCAAATCCAGTCTGACTCAGCATAAACCGTGTAAATCAGGCAGGCAAAAGGCAGTGAGGTTTTATCATAGCCTGGTGTGAGGAATTGGTGCTTTATTCCCGGACACCAACATCATCGGTCGAGCAGCAAAATGGAAAAGACAACTCAGGTTCTTCCAAAGAATGGCCCAATACTCAACGCAGAGCCAGTGTTGGAATCGACAGAAAGAGGATCCTTGGATGCTTCCGCGGCCAGATGGGTTGCCATCAATGCAACGGCGACGGTCGCTATCGTGAGACACTCTTAGATATAGCCTTCATCTTGGGAAAATGCTGACAGGAGCAACATCCAGGTCTACGTGAACAAAGCCATCTTCTCCACTCCAGCATTTCGTCAATGCCAGTTGGGATTTGTTTCATTCCACTTTGTTATCACGTGGACCACATTGCAGCTTGCCTCAAGGCCAGGAATAGCCAAGTTTACGCCAGTTCGCACAAGTCTTATGGGAGTTTTGCCCTTGACGCTTGCCATGGCAGCTAATGTGGTCCTTATGAACTTGTCACTGGCCTATTCATCCGTCATCTTTTATCAGATCATCCGTATTCTTTTGACCCCATTGACGGCGTTGATCAATCTATTCATCTATGGCTCCCGGATCCCTTTTCTGGCGACTCTAGCCTTGGTTCCAGCGTGTGTCGGCGTGGCAGTTGTTTCTTACGTCGAAACAGTCGCTCAGTCGGCTACGTCGAGGTCATCAAGCTCATTACCAGGGGTAGTATTTGCGCTGTCGGGGGTCACCGTGAGCGCACTATATACAGTGTGGGTTTCAGCATACTACCGCAAACTAAAGATGAGTAGTGCCCAACTCCTTCACAATCAAATGCCCATTGGAGGTTTGATGCTGGCGATCTCGAGCTACTTCATGGATAAGTATCCAGTCTGGGCCGAGGTCGATCGAAAGCAATGGATCATGATCGCAGCGGTAAGAGTTCCATCGAGGACGGCTGAGAGCGAGCTGACGAAACTACTAGAGTGGGATATGCGCCATGTTGATCAATGTGTCGCAGTTCTACATAATCACACATGCGGGTCCTGTCAGCAGCACGGTTGTCGGTCACCTGAAAACAGTGCTCATCATCAGCATAGGCTGGATCGTGAAGCGTGAGGCGGTCGGCCCGGAGAGCGCCCTTGGGATCGGGTTGGCAGTGGTTGGAATTATAGGGTATGTCTGCAACATACGGGACGTGGAATTTCCCAGGGGCTAACCAGGTGTGTAACAGATACTCATATGCGCTTCATCTGGATCAAGGTCGCGGGGACAAGGTGGAGCTACAATCTGGTCTCCATACGACGCCTCAGTTAGACCACTCTCACCTACGAGTATAGGTTTCCCTATCTAGCTCTTGAAGCGATTGCGGTATGGTTTAGGAGGTCTTAAGTCGTCAGAAACTGTATCTCTGTGCTTCAGCTGGATACCAACGGAGCTCCACGTCGTTCTTGTATCAGTAATGGCCAATACAGATTGACATTTCTGTCACCACTTCATCGAGTCCGATAGGATCGGGCTTCCGCATGTCTGGTTGGCACCGAAGATCTTGTAATCTCAAGTTGAGCTCAGGCTCTTAATTGACATAATAAACAACACTAATTTACTTGCTCTGGTCAGCTTTTCGTTACTATCTCCAGGTATATTGAAGTAGGAAACAGCGTTTCGAACACTGAGATGGGCTTTCGACAATCAATATAATTAATCGTATCCCATTGATTTCTCAAAACAATTGCTCCCCACACTTAATTCGACGCTTAGGACAACATTCCAGCAGGATAAGGCATGGGAAGGCTATTTCGGCGAGGACCATTATATTGTTGGCCCTTTTTGGTGGCACCTTGGATGGCGGAGAAAGATTTGCCAGACTTGACAGGGACAAGTGGCTGTGACTGACTAGCACCAGTCTTGCGAGAGCTGCTGAGTTTATCGTGGCCGGGTTCTTTGAAGTTCGAGGTAGCTTTAGAGGTTGTCGTCTTGGATTTCTGATCTCTAGCAGAGCTTGGTTCAGGCAATTGGATGGCCACACGGCGGGCTTCGGACACAGATGACTTGGCCGGGTTATGAGGAACCTCAGCTTTGGCCGGTGGTGGGGTCAAGGACTCTTGAGGCAAAGCCACCTGTAATGGCGAAGCAGTTGTATTGGCCTTGATCGTCTCAACAGGAGCCGCCTTTGAAGAGTTGGCCAGGGGCTTCTGGTGATGGGGGTTTAGACGTGGAATGTGACTTTCAGCAGCATCTTTGATGCTATGCCAATAGTCGACTGAATGGAGATTGCCATGCTCGATGAGATTGCGGTTCTCGTACAAGTAGAATAAGGACGAGAAAAGTATGACCAGGCCCAGCAGGGACGGTATACGAGTAATCATCCGCATGTCGCTTAACGGGAATAGATAGGATTAATGATGAGTTGCTGAGTGTTGAATGCTGGTTCAACAGAGACGTCCGGGTGGTGAATGATATGCTGAATTCGAGACAACGCTCGCTGGGATACTTCCAACCAACTAAAGAACAATGGCTACCTAACCTTTTGGCCGTATGTAGAGTGGTGCTACCCGGGGGTAATGCATGCAACAACTGGTGATGCCTAGGTCCCGTCCCCTACACAGTGCTTTGGGATGACCACCTGGGCAGCCATATCGAAGGTTTCTGTCATTACAAGCGAGTACAGACCTGTATGATCTGAGAGAAAACACTCGTGGCGAAATGTAAATGACAACAGAGTGATGCGAGTGCTGTCTAGAGTCGGTTCATCACGAGCGATCGACGACGTGCCGCTTGGAGAGTTCCTGAATTTGGTTGAAAGTTAGGCTGGCCCATCTGGCCTGTGCGTACCTTTTCCAAGACTGGAAGCCAAGCAGGAAGGCCAGGGTGCCGGGTGCCTGTACCGTCACGATGGGTGTGACACAAGGTTGGGCCAGTTCCCCTCGCGCACGGACAGGCTGAGGTTTGCCACATGGCTTTTGACGGCTTTTGTCGGATCAGCCAAAGTGACAGGGTCTGATGGTCTGAGCTGACATATGACATATCCATCGAAGTCCAAGCTCCTCGATGGGTACGATGGGCTGGAGAAACGGGACATTATTATGCAGCGGCAGGATCAGGTACCGGGGTATGCTCGCATGAAACACGGAGTTACAATCTACGGAGTACGGAGTACTTCTAGAGACCCCGTGACTTTGACTTTCGTGACGAATGCCTGAAACTCAGGGGAAGGGAGAAGCACCAATCAGCTGCGTTAGAAGATGGTGCTGAGCGACCCCACCTACGGCGAAGAATAAGCACCCAAGAACCAGAACTGTGGTACCTCAACCGTGCGTTTAAAATTTTCTTCCAAAATCCAGCGACACCACCAGACTGTGTATCTATGTAGATAGTGATGCATCAATATGTATGTGTATTGGGAATTTATTATGGCATGTCAGTAGCATTCCTGAGCAACGGTGTTAGAGTGGCATTCCTGATTTAAGTGACGCGTAGCGCCGCCGTAGGCCACATTCCTCATTAAAATGCCATGACCCATGAGATCTTCTGGAGTTCGCCTAGATTGAACTAGCTTCAAAAATAGAACCCTGTCACCCAATCTGGCCCAAACCCGTAAGGTGCCACTCACCAACACCCTTCGCCTCCCCCCCCTTCGACCCTCGTTCAGCTCCATCAAAGGGACGAGAACTACTTGTAAAATGCCGTGCTGAGATTTGCATGCGCTCACCATTGACAATCGAGATGGGTACCTAATCACTACTATCACTATCTCACCCTCACGCTATCTGCAACACTGTATGGGCTTTCAAGCGCCCTGTCTTGATCCCCGCAGCCTCGACTTTCGATCGATTCACTCAACCTTCATCTCTCAACGCTCATCCCTCTACCTTCTCAATCCTCTCAATCCTCGACCGGCTCCCTTACCCTCTCTTCACTTATCATCGGCCACCTTCCTTCAATCATGGGCCTACGCTTGCCGTCGCCAGCAGCCCCAAGTGATCCTGAAAAAGAGTCCTTTCAGTCTGTTGGAGGCATCGTCTCTGTGGTTAGAAGACGTCTGAGACGCATCCTCCTGGGACTCGTTGCCCTGATTGTTCTGTTTAGCCTGTTCCACATCCCTGCCAGGCCGGCGCACCTGGTCGAGTCATCAACCTATGCGCTTACCCTATCTCGACCTCCACTCCCATATCAGAACAGTTTCTTGCCGCTCGAGCAGGCACGACAGGTATGCAGCACCCAGGAGTTTGAGATCTTTCCCGATAGGAAAAACCATCGCAAGGTCTACGACCTTTTCTTGATTGGGACCGAACTGGATTGGCTTGAAATCCGCCTCAACGAACTACATCGGCACGTCGACTACTTTGTCATTGTCGAGTCCTCTCGCACTTTTACCGACCATCCTAAACCCCTTCACTTCCAAGATAATTTTGAAAGATTTGCCCGGTTCGCGCCCCAGATCATATACCGCCAGATCGACTTCCAGGGAATGGAAGACAACTCCACTTGGGAACGCGAGCACTACCAACGGAACGCAATGTACGACCTCGTTTTTCCCAGTCTCTTGGGCAGCCAAGCTCCGGCTCTGAACGATGTCCTGCTCGTCTCCGACATTGACGAGATCCCCCGTCCTTCCACTATAACCCTCCTCCGGAACTGCATGTTCCCTGAACGCACCACGCTCCGAAGTCGCTTCTTCTACTATTCCTTCCAATGGGAGCACGATGGAGGTGATTGGAACCATCCCCAGGCAACCTTTTACCAGGGGAGTTTCACCATCAAGCCAGAGGATCTTCGTATGGGCCGTGGCGATTGGGACATCTCAAACTCGTCTTGGCATTGCAGCAGCTGTTTCGAGACCGTGGCCCAGATGGACGATAAGATCGGTTCCTTCTCCCACACCGAATACGATCGCCCAGAATTTCGAGATCCTGCCGAGATCGTTCGTCGCGTCCGCAATGGCCTCGACCTATTCGACCGCGAGAGTGAAAAGTACAACAAGGTCGATGCTACAGTTGATCTACCCCAGTACCTCAAGGACAATAACAAGCGATTTGCTTTCATGATTGATCGCGACCCTGAAAACGCAAACTTCAAAGATTTTCCTTGACCGTTGGCCCTCTTTTGTACGATAATGGCTTTGCAGGAGCCTGGACGGGAATGTGGGATTTCATGTACGGCGTTTGTCAATGGACTTGTCCTGGAAGGTGTGAATCGGATATTTTTGCCATGTAAAACCACGTGTGTCATTTAGATATTCTCATATCCTGGTCATCATCAACTTTGCCATCAGTTTCATTCCCGCCATTCCCGCCATTCCTTGCATAACACCGCCTCTTTGGCATCTCACTGTCATTTCTCTTCTCCTGGCTTGCCTTGTCGGTGACGTGGCCTCTGATCATCAACAGACAGCCGTTGTCCCGTCGGCTCTCCTTGTAGGCCAGTGGGGAGGCTCGCGGGCGGAAACGCTTCGACTGATGTGAAAGTATCAAACAACGTAAGAGGGCTCAAAGAACCAATATCACCCATGACGGGCCAGTTGCTTCCCAGTCCGGAAGATCTCTTGTTTTTCGTTATGCCCGCTTGGGCTCCTGCATGTCTGTCGAGGGCGAGAGGTTGCATGCACTTCGAATCGACCAACTTTGTAGCATGTTGTGTTTGAGTCCACATCCACCCAATCGAGATGGTCTGCTTGCATACTCCATATTCCCGCGATTGCACAGCCGAGCCAGAAGGCATTCTGCATGTGGTAGGAAAGGAGATCAGTGAAAACAGATAGAATCGTCACAAATAAGACAAATCATGGCCAAATGCTCAGTGGCTCCAGAAGATGGAAAATCATGCGACGAAATTGTCAAACAATTATCATCTCCATGGTCTTGTCCACTAAACTTGAGTGGACGATGTGATATACGGTCACATCAGAGGTCGTTTGTTTGCGCCCATTTCAGGCCGCCATCTCTTCATCAAAGGGGCCCTTGGAAGGGTTTGAGATCGCGACGGGAGAACACGCAAGTGCAAAAAAGTGCCGGAAAGACGTCTCTGTGCAGAGGGATGCAGTCAATCACCGAGACCTGATCGGAGACAAGTCCAAAGAGTCCCAGAATGTACTTGAGATGGCTTGAGGGAATTTCTGGCCGACTTTCCATGACCAAACACTCCACTCACAGAGCTTCTCATCATCCCAGCCGCCATCTTCATCGGCCTGCTCTCTTCCATCAGCAACGCACTCTAGACCTCCAGATTCTAAAAGGTCCCAGATCTCTCTGATCTGATCAAGATATGCCACACGCATTGCCCAGGTGATTATCAGCCGTGCAGACGGATCGGGGGCAAGCCAGCGAAAGATCGCTTTGGACAACAACTCGGGGTGCTCTTCGGAATACATGGTGTCGGCGGCGAGAATGATTTGCGACTTGTCAGTATCAGCTGAAAGTCGCTCGCCAGACGGGAGAATAATGAAATCGGGTTCACTCCAGTCTAGAGTACCGCATTCCACCGTGCTATGGATGTTGGCTTTGTTGAGGCTGATGTTGGTGGTCAACGCCGGCAGAATAGGCGTTAGATCAGTCAGAAAGACCGGCCTCTGCCATAGACGGGCGGCTGTCAAACCCACCAAGCCCGTACCTGCTCCAAGTTCCAGGATAGGCACCCTACTCGAAGTATCGATCGGGGCTGAGAATTTATGCAACAGACTGGCGAGGATGAAGCCTGATGTCCACGTGATTAGACCCAGATTATGAGCACGAAGAGCTGGCTCCGAGATCTCAATGTGTACAAGCTCATCATTGGCGTCAGGAACTGAGAACACTCGTGACATTGAAAGATCCTTGACGATGAATCGTGAGCGATACAGCATGAGGTGGGAAAATCCAAGGCAAACAGAGCCATTTTCTGTCGTTGAAGAGGGTTGAAATATAGGCTTGGCACTTGGCATTTTATACGTTGAAGTATCTCTCGAATTTGGCACTGCGGTGGGGTAAAGATATCCGTTCTGCAAATGCCCGTTGTCGCCTGCATCGTCGTCATCGTCGTCATTGTCGTCATCGTCGTCAGTGCGCCCCTCTTTCTAACCATTCATCAACATCATGATTGACACTTCGGCATAGATATCAACTTCTTTTGCCTGCCATTAATGCTCTAGCCTTTACGTAAGGGATGCGGAGCGAGGTTAGTGTCTCTACGAAGTCCCGACTCCCCCTGGGTTCCCCATCTTGTCCCCATGTCCCCCTGCTGGTAGAAAAAATAAGCAACTGCATCGTGGATTAACACCAAACCGTTGCTGTTTTCGGTCCCACTTCCTCGTGGGTACAATTCGGATGGTCCTGGCTTCCAATGGCAGTGGGCTTATGGAACAGTGGTACCTTATGGGGGTGCCCTCTCCGTATCAGTTCTGCGTGATAAGCTGGGCCGACCCCATGTTTGGAAGGAAATGTTATGCTACATGCAGTCTCTCAATCTCTCTCAGTCTCTCTCAGTTTCTTCTGCCTATTGAATGTGTAATCCTTTAAACCATGCCTCTCGTTGTGAGCCCTTCAGCCTGGCCCGCAACTTGGCCCGAACCTGATTATGAAACCCCCATGACACGAGGCAACCCTGCGCTCTTTGTCGTCACATTCGGAATGCGGTTATACTGTCGCCAGTTTGTTGTTCGGTAATTCGGTATTGACGACTCTCTTATAGTCGCAGGATTCTTGAGTAACGAATGACCTCCTACAATCCTTCCTACGCTGGCAAGTATAAATGTGGGAATGAAAGGGCACCCATTGTTTCAGCGCAGCAGCTTCAGTGCTTTCTGACATCTAGTCATCCATACTGCCCATGTTCCTCACTGCTCAACTTAATCTGACAGTTCGACGGAGAGTGGGATCGTGCACCTTATTCTCGGCCGGACTTCTGACTGGTGGTGGTGGATGTGCAAGATTGCACTTTTTACTCAAGGTCACCATGACCTACCTGCCGGAGCATAATACCCACGATATCACACGGGAAGGATAGCCAATCTTTATATGATGCTTTCCTTTTTAGTCGCATACAATGACAGCTAGTTTTCCAGGGCTCTAACAGACATTGAGGCGAAGCTTGCAATTATTTGGGCTTCAGTTCCAGCTGTCAAAATACTATTGCTCCGTCAAATTGCTCGTCACCTTTCCAGGCTTCAAGCGTCGGTCCGCTCCGCCTCGTTCAGGGAAACGCCTTCAAGAAACCTAATCAAACTCGAGGTAGAGCTCACAAATGATCTAGAGCGTCAAGTGGACCATCGATGTTTCAAGCAAGGGGAAGGTGCTCTGGGAAATCTTGATAACGTCAAGACCCCGGCATTTCGGATCGAACAAATATCTGAAGATCAAGGACATGCTGCTCTTCCGGAATCTATTGTAAAGTAGCGAGAATGCCTGATCCGCACATTGCTTCCCTCATGTAAATGCCAGGTCGGTGTGTTCAATCCAGATAACAACAGACTGAGTCTTTCCCGCTTTTTAACTACACTGGCGTCCAAATGAGCCCTGACCTACCTAATGGGATCAAGGAGGTGTGCGGTCACGTGATGAGTATCAGGGCCATTGTATCGAGGGTCTACAGGTCTAGGTAGTTTGACCCTCGATGCGATGGTAAAGTAGTCATATACTATCCCTATGCCATCGAGGGTGATTTTTAGACTCTGCGGCCTTATCGTGACGTATGCAGGCATTTGGCCAATGAAATACGTGCTGGGAGGTTCAGGTCTAGAACACCTTGATCGATATCGTCAAAATGGCTTTGAAAATCAGGGCGGAAAGCGACTTCTGCAGGGCAGAACAGGTCCAAGCTATGTCACCGTGAAAAAATTGGCGCTGTGGTACGTGGCATCAAGACAGCATGGCACATGCTACCAGCTTCAGACAGGTGGCTCGTGCCCAAGCAAGTTGCGCAGAGGGTGGCGAGCAGAACGCTCCTACCAGTACCCTATTGTGCAAAGGTCCAACCAGAGCCCACAGCCTATGATTATGCACAATGTTGATCGATCTATCGAACACTCTCTGGACGAATAGGGCCAATTTATCCGAATCTGGACGCACAGGCGCGAGAAGATAAATCTCTTCACTGAACAAGGTCTAGACCCTCCGAGACAACGTTTGAAGCACAGGGTGATTGTTGATCTGGTTCAAGGTAAGCAACGGGACAATATAAGTCAGCAAGTTCGTCATTCACAGTCAAGGCTTTTCGCATCGAGAATTCACATCCACTCCCAGAAAATATGAGATATACTTCGTTTGTCGGAGGGATGCTCGTCAGCCTCGCCTCTGAAGTTGTTGCTGAATCTGTGACAAAATGCGGCAATACTGGCCTGGAGAGTTACTATAACTCGACCACCTTGCCATACGTCTGTAAGTTGGATAAATCTAACTGATCACTCATTCTTGCTAACGAGTATCAGTCTACAACAATCCTTGGGGGAACGATGGTTCTGGCTTCTCTTGTATCACTGTACGTAACTTGCTCGTTACCTGCTAATTCTTGGTGGCTGAACGTGTGCTAATGCCAACTGTCCGTCTCAGGTGAAAAATAACGGGACAGCCTTCGATTCAACCTGGCGCTGGCTCAACAATTCGGACAAGGTGCACGCATACCCACATTTCAAGCTCGACTCGCCGCTCTACCCACTCTTGGTGGAAGACTTGGCTTCTGTTGATTTCACCGGCGACTTCAGCATCAATGTCACGTCTGCCGTGGGTGAGAGCCCGGAAGCTCGAGAAGAGGCGTTGACGGATGAGGATGTGCAATATAACGTTGCTTTGGACATGTTTCTGGATGCCAATGAGACCCAGGCTATGGCCGAGCTCCCGGCATACGAAATCATGATTTGGATGTCTTACTCTTACCGGGTCTACCCCGTGGGAATCGACACGTCGACGCCCGACAAGGATCAATTCATTGTCAACGGCACCCGATTGTGAGTCCTCATGGTCCCCCTTGTTCTCATGCACTCATGCATGGTAGCAAGTTGTCTGACACTGTTGTTGTGCAGCTTTTTGTTTCATGGTAACAACACCCAAGGCCAAACTGTCTTCTCCTGGCTCCCTGAACACAATCTCACGCATGCATCTGGCGATTACTCGCCATTGATCCACTATCTTTGGCAGTTTGACTTTATGCCTTCAGACCTCTACCTCGGAACCATCCAGTTCGGCACCGAAGAATTCCATTCACAGAGCGAGGTACTCTTTTCTGCTGGCAATTACAGCCTAGGCATCAGCGAAAATCAGGAGCTCCAAGTGTCACAACTGGAGGCACCAAAGCCAGTCCCTGTTCCCGATCAAGTGCCCACTATGAAGAGATTTGAAACGCAGAATAGTGCTGGTCCTGCTACGCAGACGCAGCTGTTCTTCACAATTATCGTGGCCATCATTGCTGCTCTGATAGTGGCTAAATGACGTTTCGTCCTTTAACCTGAGGCATTATGCCAATCCTCAAGCGAATGTCCATAGGTCAGCATACAACACTTCCATCAACACTTCCGCCAACACGTCGCAGAGTGGACATGTCCTGGCTTTTGACATCAGTCTTCCAGATCAGAAGGACTGCTCAACAGCCATGGACTCCTCTTATCGCGGGCTTGTGACCATACCCCCAACAAGAACGAGTGGAAACCCACCCTATTCCGGGTCCCAAGACCACCTCAGAATCGGGTTTCTTGGCTCCATTGGCCTAAAATCGATTCACGATTTTGTCTGCAATGCTACTGCGACGTCGTCCGCCCATAGCTTCGCTCTGGCGGCGAATGGTCTCGACGAACTCCTTGTCGTTATCAACATGGCCTTCGAACGACCATAGAGCAGGGCACGGGCCAAGCTTTCGTCGGAAGATATAGGTCTTTATCCACCATGGAAGGACAGTACCCACTTGATGGCGCATGAATGTCCTCGTGGGAATAGCAAAGATGTAGTCGAGTTCCTCCTATAACATGGTTAGGGAGGATTAATGTTTGAGACAATAGTGCCCATCCTGCACGGTAATTACGTACTAATGTCCTTTGTTTCGTTTCGGGTAGAAAAAGGAAGATCATGATTAAAGCGATGATGTTCAGGCCCGCATAGAACCCGAATGCTCCCGTTGGAGTCATTGCATCCAGCATCCGTGGGAAGGTGATGGAGAGCACTGCTGCCCAGAACAAGCACGTTGCCACTGCCCATGCCATGCCAACTTCACGGTGAGAGAGAGGAAAAACCTCAGCAGAGTATGTGAATGGAACGGGGCCTTCTCCTGGAGAGTAAAAGGCGGCAAACTAGGCTGGGTCAGTGTAGATTCTCTTGTAATTCTTAGGTCAACCCACAAGATAAATGAACAGAGCAACGAGACCAAGGTGTGCAGTGTTACTCTCAGGAATCAAGTAGCAGAGTCCAGCAGCTAGGAGAGTCCATGCCATCTGTGGGAACGTGAACAACAGAAGAGAGCGACGACCAAAAGTGTCGATGGTCCAAATGGCTGGCCAGGCAAAGACAAAGTTGACGAGACCGAAACCCCAGGAGGCCAGTAGTGATTCGGTGACAGAGGCACCAGCTTGCTCAAACACCGTTGAGCTATAGAATGCAATGATATTGACTTTGGGAATGTCAGCCAGGCGACCGGCGGGACGGTGATTGCTAGTACTCACTTCCGCACATCTGCTGAGCGATCATGACAGTGAAGGACGCCAGAGTAGCACGTCGAACTCGAGGGATGGTGAAAAGCTGAATGAAGCGGGAGACATAATTACTATTCTTGCTGACCAAAGAGGCCTCCATTCTCAGCTGTGCAAAGATATAATACGTGTCACGAGCAGCTTGTAGCTCTGTGTTGCGCAGTCTTTTAAGTGAGCGAAATGCTTTTCGGTACTGGCCATTTTTGATGTACCAACGAGGAGATTCTAGATGTATCAGTCATCTTGGCAATTCAAAGGGAATTGGTATCTGAAACCAACCTGGACAGAAGTATACACCAATTAACAGAGGCAATGCTGGAATAAGCGCAGAGCCAAATTGTAGTCTCCATGAGATTGAACCAGTATCTTTAACAGCGAGATTGGCACACGTGCCCAGGAAGATGCCAAATGCCGTCCACATTTGCCAGCTCATGACTAGAGCGCCACGGATAGAGGCTGGTGCGTTTTCGGCGCTGAATATGGGGACAGTGGAGCCTTTACAGCCCATCCCTATACCTAGTAGTAAACGAGTGACAAGTAATTGTTCCCAAGCTGAAATGGTATCAGTTGATCGGTTAAAACAGATGGTTTGATGTCATGACTTACTTTGAGCGACAGCACTACCAATAGGTGCCAAGAAGCAGAAGACTGCAGAGACGAAGATTGTTCCTCGTCGTCCAAAATACTTGTTCAGAGGGTCTGAGCACCAACATCCACTAGTGAAAGGTCAACATGAGTGATACACTGCAGGGAGAGGAAGCAGGATGGTACGGACAGAAAGGCAGAGGCGATGTATGGGCCGGCATTGATCAGGCCTTGATACCATTGATTTCGTGCGGCTTCAGGATTGGGTTGGCCATCGACAGTTGAAGAGACGGGGATTCCCAGAGCGTCAGGAAAGGACAAGTTGGCGCCGTTGGAACCGGTTTGATCCCAGCCCTGCACTGCAGCACCAATTGAACACAGGATGATGGTAAAGTACAAAGATTTGGGCTGACGCCATTTATGCAAAACTTCATTGCGGATGGCCTCCTTTTCGGGTTCGGTCAGGTCGGGAACTGATTCAAAAGCTGGGGGGTCTTTTGCGACCAAAGCACCCCTGACCAGAAGGCCTGTCAGATCTTGGAAGCCGTTTTCTTTGGCAAACTCTTCCACATCCTTGATCACCTGCTCGTTTGACAGATGGGCCAGGGGATTCTTGATCCTGATGTGGATCAGTGTGAGTGTTATGGTAGTTGGTATCCAATGGAGCTTGCTTACTTTGCAGTTGCACTATCTTGGAGGTCAACGTGATCTGTACCAGGAACCTGACCAACATGCTTCTCATCGTCGCTACTGGGATATGCTGTCAGCATGGTAGACGATAAAAGAATGTATGAGAACGCCTTGCCTCACTCGTGGTTGCTGCTGGACCTCAGTGTCACGAGACTCCATTTTTGAGTGGAATCGCAAATTTATTATGCTCTCGCTGGTAAGTTAGAGAGATTGGATGTAGATGGAGAGTATTGCGCAGGGTGGGATTGGTTTTATCGCTGAATTGTCAGCCGATTCCAGTGAAGGCGGGGAACTCTGGCCCGTGCGTGACATGTTTGAAGTTTGAAGAGGCCGATGGGACACGTCCCGCATGTCCATTTCTGAAGGCGAAAGGACGGGACTAGAGTGTGGACCTCTCAGGGGATATAGTAGACGGCCTGGATGGCGTCGACTGAGGGAGGACCATATCAATGGACAGAAAGCCGAGAAACCATGTATGCTGACGTACCTGACCCGCCTCCATGTCAATATGGATGGTGAATCGATGAGTCGCATGACGATTCCCTCATATCAATGGGTTAGATGCTGGAAGCGGAAAGGCAAGATCGACTGTGAATCCCCGCCTGGATCTGCATTGCAACGGTGGGGAAGCCACAAGCCCTGGCTCAAAGGCTTGGCTCTCTTGTTGGGGCTTGTTTGTGTGCCAATAGCAACCAAGCATCTATATCTGCTGCTTAAAACGCTGATCATGACGTCAGCTCTGGCTTCCCTAAAGCTTACCTAGTCTGTAAACGGCAACCACCTACAATTCATACCTGGTTGGCAGGTGTAACCCTGGCTTTCCCCGGGTTGAACATCAGTTGGTAGAGCCATATAATGCCATGTCCCATCGAGCATCTCATATTTACGGAGTTGTGGCATGGATAGCTTTAAAGTGGTAACGCCCGTTTGCGTAGCTTACGCGTTCCAACAGGGCGGCTGGAAGTACTGTAATGTGCCCGGGCAATATACATAGGGCCGCGATAGGTTGGGTCTGCGGCGATCAGTGGGCGTGCTCTTCTGTATTCTCTCTGATCTCCTTTCTGATTGCTTCGGGTCCTCGGCTTGAGTAGCCACCTTGAGCATATGGGCAACATGTAGAGGCGCTGACGCCGAGAAGGGATCTGACGGGATTACAGTCCCAATGTCTCCAACCCTACCCATCTACCTACGTTTATACTTGCAGTGTCATAACCATCAAAATATCAGGCGTCCAGGTTTCACTGTGGGTAGGCGGTACCGAACTTGATTCGATATCGTCGTTCATGATCGCATGCCAGCCTCCCACCTCGACGCGCGAGCTCCAAGTATCCTGCATCGCAAATTCTTCTGGATCCGATCCCACAGTGCCTAGGGATAGATAGACCTTGCCATTCTCTTTACAAGCTATCATCTATCGTCGGTCTGATTAGCTCAGACAGTATCGGTCGTACGTGGCTGCCTCAGTCTCGTCGCGTGCAAGTGCATTCACAGCATCTCTACACAAGCACCAAGGCTTGATATAATTGAAGCTGTTCGTCGACCAAATGCCTCGTAAACTGTACACCTTCAGTCAAAGCCAATCGCATGTAGCCTCAGCATCATTTAATCCTGGGCTAATCTTTATAAGGTCTTGAAACTAAAGCAAGTATGGACAGGTGTAATGTCTGCTGTTATTGTCAGTAGATCCAAGAAGTTACCATCAAAACCAACCACCGATGTCTTTCGACGCACCAATAACCTTCTTATTCTCATCCCCTCCCCCCTTCCTTTCTATCCTTAATATCTCGAACATGCATCACCGGCAACAATCGCAGTAGGACCCGTACAATTAAGCCCTGCCGGGCTACCAGAGCCTAACCAGTAGATTTGGTATGCATTGAGATCCTCCAATTTGGCGTTCCAGCATGCGTGGAAATGGTAGGCTCCCCAATTCATCAGTGCCCCATCCTGGGAGAAGGAAAAGCCTGCAGTCAGCGGGCCAACCGGCGGACTTCCATGCGGTACACTGAACCATACTGGCATGCTCTCATATGGGTACACATACATCAGTTGAAACCCGGTTGGAGACGAGTGTATCGCTTGGAAAGTCAGGGAACTTTGGTTTGAAGACAGATTGCCCACAACAAGAGGTTCGGAATCGGACTGAAACTTCACTCCGCCGAGATATGCCGAAGAGTTGGCATATAGTACGTGAATAACCTTGGGTACCTGTTCAACATGGCACACGGGGATATCATTTACTATTTATCGAGAACAAGACGTCAGATGACCCGCAGATAATCCATTTCAATCGCCTCAGACTCGTGGTCATCTGTCTATCGCAAGGCCCGGCTGTATCTCGTAAGCTTGCATCAGCGATGCATAAAAGGTGCTGACCATGGATGAAGGAGGGCCTGTGTCGTGGAGATCTCGTGCACTTCAACAGGGACCAAGCCAAACAGGCGATGACCAAGAGTTGAACCGGGACTAAAGTCCAGGACGCTTTACCTTAGTCAACTGAGAAGTTACCGTCTTTTATCCCCAAAGGTCAGGCGATTAGAGTATTATGTGCTCCATGTTTACCCACATCCGCGGGCCTCAGTGTTTGGACTGGTGTGAGGGGGCATTCCAGCCAACTACCTACTGTACCAGTCCAACCTCCATACTATACCTAGGCCGCGCCTCCCCCTCATATTTTAGCCTGGGGTATTTATAAGCTGCTATGGTTAGAGTTGTCACGCAGATGATAATCACATTAGTCTGTATTGTTGATCTCTCTGACAGTGGGGTTGTAGTAGCACATGTACTTTGGTACGCCAATTGCAACTACTCTCCTGCCTTATGGATACTGTTCGATCCTCCTTATCGCGGCTCAACTTCTGGGTAATACTGAGGTGCCTCTCGACGATCATACATGCCGTAGTCGCGGATAACTCGGACCTGCCTGGTCCTGTGGGCTGCCGTACCTGTCAGAGACCTGTTGAAGCCAGCTGCCGAAGTCTGGTCTTTCCACGAACACATCAGCAACACATCGCCTGGTGTCAAGATGGCTTCAAAAGTATCCCACTCGACTAAGCCCGGTGCTTCGGAAAGCTCTACCTGGAGAGTCCTGACCACATCGTCCGCCTCTCTTATTGGCCCACCGTCGTCTAACGGTGTCATTCTGGCATTGACCAGACTCACCACCTTTGCATTCCCAACCTCAGTCCCATCGAACCTCGTCTGCACCATTCCCTGGGCGGCCCTCTTGGCATCACTGTCGAGGCTGACCTCCCCAACTCGGAGATGATAGTCCCTAAGAATCTGATCTCTACCAGTCGCCTGCGCAAGATGGTGTTTGCTCGCCGTGCGCCACCGCACTAGCGCCTTTTCGTTTTCCCAATCCGATAACGACAGGATCCAACCTGGCCGTCTCAGAGATCGGTAGCGGATGTTAGCGATAAAGCCGCGTGTAGATTCAAGTTCTGGCCGCAATGCCTTTCCTGTGGCAAGATACGACTCCCACTGGTCGGTACGAGGTTGAACCTCGAAGATGACTTCGAACATGGCCAGTGATGTGACCCTTGCACTGGTGCCCAATTGTTTTGATAAGTAGTCTCGCAACCCTTTTCGTCATAGATCTTGTTCTCTGTCTGGTCCAATAGAGCAAGGCTTCTGCAAATAACCAGGTCTAAGTCCTTGTGTCCCGAAAGGAGTGGAAGCTTTGTGGTCAAACCTAGCGCGCCCACGCAAAGGCTCCCAAGGCAAATTACTCTCCCCGCATCGTCATCCTCTATCTGTCGACTCCTGATTGGCCACTTTGACAGCAACAGTTGGACAATTACATCCCCCGCAATTCCTCTGTGATGTTATATCTTATCAATTGAATCTTGAAAATCATTGATCCTATTCTGTTACCTGAGAAAACTACGGAAAATTAAAATGGAACTCGGTGTCCATAGCACGTGAGATCAATCTTTCTCCGGTCGGTTGTTGATGGAGCCATCACCACCTAATTCACCTTGTTAGCAGAGTTCACTTCCATAGTGAGGATCACTCCATCAGTCTACACTTACCCGAAGGTCTCCTCAAAGTATGCGACTCCTCTCTTGCCCTCCTTCAGAGCTTTATGCACCGCCACCCGTGCATCGTCCGCCATAGCCGCTGGCCCACATGTGAAGACGGCGACTTGCCCACTAGCTCGACTTCCCGAGTGGACAGTGTTGATGTAATCTAGAATGGCCTTTGTAACATCTGGGCGTCCGCGTCTAATAGCCGGGCTCAGTCCGAGGTCAAGACTGTTGACTTTCTCCAGTTTGTCTGATTGCACGCTCTCTGACGACTCCGTGCGCGAAGTTGCGAAAAACTGGGTCGTGACATCTGTGCGGGTCAGGAATGGTTTCAGGTCCGTGGTTGCTGCATGCCGAATCATGGCTGACTGCTTCGTTGCCCAGATCAGTGTTATGTTTTTCGTACGACTTGCCATAATCTTGCTCTCAGAGGTCAAACTCTCGCTGTGTTCCTGTAGATATGGGATGGCACCGCCGATGCCCGTTCCACCGACGACAAATATCACGTTTTCATGGGCCCGCAACGGGCTATGATGACCATAAGGACCCTCGATCAGCATGCGGGCGCTAATGGTTCCTTCGACTGATTTATTGCACTCATTGCGAAGCCGTTGCGTCCAGCTGCTGTGCGGTCGCACGTAAAAAGTAAAGGTATCCCGCGAATTATGATTAGGGACATGCACAGCTTGACTCTCGCGTTGGGGGCTGATCGGGGCATTCTGCGACATATCTGCATCACTCGATGATGACGACACAGGCATGATCTGTGTTTCTTTATCGTGCCCTTTGGAGTCGTCAGGGACTCCTGATATGTTAGCCCCGAGTTGCGTTGCGGTCGTATGATTTTGCTGTGTGTCGCCATTTTTCCACCCAGCTAACGTGAATGGATGGTTTTCCCACCCTTTCCACTTCAAAGGCTGGTAGAGATAGTAGTGCTGACCCGCACCTGGCTTGAAAAGGTGTGATACGGGCGTAATCTCTATTTTCAATAGGTTTGCTTCCGTATGATAGGTGACCAATGCTTGTGTCGCTGACACTTGGCCGGAGAACTTTACCCGCAGATTGCAACACAAAATGCGAACAAGACGTGCCAATCTATCGACGCTCCATATGGCAACCGGTGGCCAAATATAAGGATCATATTCGCCGTCCCAGATTTCGGTGTGACTGCAAGGTGTCAGTCTATTGCTATAGGTCGGAGGTTGTGACTACACTCACTACCATAGGCCAACCAATGTCAAGACAGACATGACAATGTGTATCAACAAGAAGATCTCATAGGCTCTTTTTCGGAGCCACACTGATGAAAATAGTAACAGGAAGCTCATGGTCACTGTTGCCTGGACCACAGTTAGTTCATCAACACATTTTCGACTCAGGCACAAGAGTGCCATCATACCATGCCTCCCATGTACCAATACTTTTCAGCCCAATCTGCGGCAAGATCTGCATTTGTTAGCCAAAACGGTCGCGGCTTGTAGTTGTCACTCACAATCCCATTCTAGTCCAGTGTAGCAGATTGAGTGTATGATTGCAAGGATGGTGGCGATGCGAGCTACGTGGCGATGGAAGATATTGAAGGTTTGGAAACTCCACCCAGTCAACCAGAGAAAGACATTATTCCTGCCAGAAAACATCCAAAGCACAGGCAGATTGGCATAGCTCAAGACGCCAGTGCGGTCAGCAATGTATCGCCACCTTTGCTGGGCCGGGCTGTAACTGCAAAAGGGTCAGCTCCACAGACAAGCAAGTGTTGTCCGTAAGTTAAACCTACTAAAGGTTTGGGGTGAAGATGTAGTAGCTGACAGCACATAGGACCAGGTTCAGGAACCAGTATGAGAGAACCACCAGAGTCTCCATCCTCGTTGGAATGTTACACCACCACAGAAGCCGCCGATGGTGAGTGCCAAATGCGGTGGGAATAATCAAATTAGCTCGGACCCAATGATTCACTGTGCCCAAGGGGCCAAAGGCGGGCTTGTGATTTGCACTGGTGCCTTTGCCTTCGACATCTCCGGAGCCCTTGTACAGTCGCGATGACAAAAGATAGCTGCTCAAATTGTGGGCCATGCCAACAATGAGAAGAGCGCCCCAAAATCCGTAAACTCCCCAACTAAGGGTGAATCAATACACGGTCAAGAGACTCGTTTTGGACGACGTACCCGTATTTTGAATCTAGTAGATAACTTTCCTCAAACACTGTCTAGATCTGTTCAGTAAAGTGTTCCCGCGAATATCGACATTTTGAAATGCTTACTATGGTTCTATACGATGCCGCGTATAGATCTCTAGACATGAGAATAGCATGATCCCAAACAACGCTTTCGTTGATATCCGAGTAGTCAACGATTGGCAAATTGGCAAAAAAGCTGTCCGTGAGCAGAGGGGATACATCAGAGTAAGGAATGAGTTCGACTCCGCCATACTCAGTGCAGTATCCGCCCAGGAGCTGATTACCGGCAGATATCTCATCCGGGGTGCAGTACTTTTTTGCTGCCGACCACATAGATAGCGTGCTCAGGTTGTTGGCGCATAAGTTGCCCCAGTAATCTCCGTCTTCCCCTCCAGTGAAGACAAAGTCGGCGATGACGGTCCGAACACCATCGACGCAGTCAGTCTGCAGGCCACTGCTGAGGGCAGAGCTCCAAAGAGCGGGAAAAATTGATATGTACAACAAGTGTCGCATCTTGCGTTTTCTGCTGAAAACCTGGGAAATGACCGAGGAGGAGGAGAGAGACTTTTCAATGCTGAAGGGGCAGCCAGTGCGGCTTCTCATATAGTAATAGAGCTATGGCACAAGAGTGCTATGCCTCAGGGCCCCACTTCCAACCCACTGTCTCGAGCTTCGTCTCTTCAAATGCAAATTGGTGTAAAATCATGCAGATGATCACGCCTGGAAGGCTTGCATGAAGCTAAAGCGACGGTGGATTCGCAGCATCGCAGCATTCCATGTCACGGCAGCGAGGATGGTGGCATGATGTGACCCGTTGAGAGACTTTGCAGTCGACTCGCCCACCGAAAATGACGGGATCTGCTGGTCCAGAGCCCATAAAGGGCATTTGAATATTGTCTTCATCAGCCCAGATCGAGGGAGGGCCTGTGGAGCGCTACGATGGACCAGACTCTGCAAGTGGGCCAGAAAACAAGCCTAGTTTGGATACTCAAGCTTTGAACCAAGCACCATATGCCCAGAAAAGTGGCAGCAACGAGATCGGCAGTTTTTTTCTCAACATGGACCATGTCCTCGCTCCTTTCTTCCGATGCTAAGGTAAACTGGATACGAGAGCTCCGCAGATGTCTCTTGCGAACGGTTAGTCTTCCGATCGGCATTGGCTTTTGACTTGTGTAGTTAGGCTTGATACATGGCTTGGGAACAGACTAAAGTCTTAATTGAGCCCCATCCTGGGTTGTCGCACAGCCGACGAAAATTCGCAAGCTTGAATGCTGATGAACGGAGGATCGCTCATATAGCCCACTGTAACCAGGGTCGGTATCTGAACGGTATACCCTGTTCAGTGGGCAAAGGACGGAAAGTGAGTGCCACTCAAACCTATAGATGATGATCAGACATTCCACACCATCTTATCTAATCATAATCTGATAAGCAAATGGCGGTGGGCAAGAGGGAATTGATCTGAGCTTCCAACCACAGGCACACGTAGCTTCGTGTCGGACTCGGCTATGTGGCATCAGACTCCTCGAGCCGAGATCGCTGGGGAAATCAGGCGTTTGTAGTCATCGCAGACTGTACCATGGCGATCTAGACCCAGCCATTCTCAAGTGGTGGCGTGTCTCTTGTTGGTGGCGGTATGGAGGATAAGCAAGAATACTAACGCTTGTGATTGTTGCATCGCACATGCTAAAGTTTGAGACAGTGCGACCCAGCACCCAATCAACCGTTGGATAGTTCGATCCAGTCTATCTGCCGATACCGGAGGCTGAATCTGGTGAAAAGCGGGAGGATTTCAAAGAAAAAGAAGAATTGAAGATGTTACGAGTTAGGAGTTGCCATTTGTGCAAATACTCGGCCGTAGTATAGTACTACAGCGGATCATAAGATCTATCTATTTCCAGAGCTTCTGTTCTTCCTTCGATCAGATTTCATGCCTGAGCAGTCCTACATGCCGACTTCCGGTATCGTGTTCGTAGACCTTTATTCGGATCGCCAAGACAGTTTCAAAGGCCCGAGGAAGCAATGGACGATCTCACTGAATGCTACCGGCCTCTGGTGCTGTATCGATATATTTGAAGTGGGGGATAACAGCAACTAAGGTGCAGGATGTTCCATTCCGTACCTCATCGTTGTCCGAAGCCCCTGCACGAGACTATGGGGGCAGTATGGTTTGTATGTGGCGACTGTCCCAAACGGAGAAACTTGTCGTGACAAATGCTGTGTCGAAGATGCTTGAGAGTGACCTCGGAATACTACATGTCCAAGACTTATAGGAGTACGCAGGCAAGAGAATTGTTCATGTCCAAGGCTTATACGAGTACGCAGACAAGATAATTGTGCACGGCGATTACTGGAGATAAGCGGGGATTGGAATTTTTGACGACAAACCGCCAGAACTACGTAACGAGACTCGGCTTATTGTTATTTATGATTAAATTGTTGCAACTTGAGTTCGTGGGGACTGTCATTTGGCTAGAGATTCTCCGAACCACTATCACCGCTTCTATATCAGTCAAAGTCCCTTTCGACTCGGAAACGCGAACATGACATCTCCACAGCGTCAAACCGCGCTCGCTTTTCTGGATACCTTTCGAGACCTCGATGTTGACGCAAACTTGGCGCTTCGTGCCCCGGATTGTGTCCATCAAATGGGCCCGGCTTCATTGGGGTATTCGCCTGATGGCATGAACAATGACCAGTTTGGCGCGCATTGTCGAGGCTTGAAACCCCTTATCAGCCACTTCCCCGTGGCCCCCAAACAAATCTTCCACTCCCCGGGCAGCAACATCGTCACCATCTGGGCAACGAGCGAAGCCCAATTTCAACAAGAGGCCATTGACGACGAGCTGGAGTGGGAATACCATGGGGAGTACCTCTTTGTATTCACGTTGAATCAGACTGGCGACCGTATTCAACACATTGTGGAATATCTCGACAGCCAGAAGGTCGTCCAAGTCAGCAATCTACTGAAGAGGGCCAAAGAAAATGTGCAAAAGGCGAAAGGGGTGTAATGGAGAGTCACGACTAGATGCTGGACAATGCAAACAATACCACGAGTAACTTCATCTACATGGACATCAACACGACACACGTCTTACTTCTGTGGAAGACCCCGCCGATAGATGCTTCGTTTCCGTCGTTCAAGAACGTCTTCGCTCCTTTTGGTTGAATTTGGATACTGAGGAGAACAATGCACTCATGGGGTTGTGGTGAAGGCAGGGTGACCACGCGGCAATGATGATTCATAGTCGTCATGCCCAGGACAAGATGGATGACGAGATACGCTGTTCAGTCAGATACATTTGCCAGGCTAGCAACTCGTCGTCCCGTGTTTTGAGCTTGCTGAGAATGTGTATAAGGTGGTGTAAGGCGCGGAATCATTCAAATCTATTCATTACAAGTATCGCTGTCCGACATGCCCAGACTAGGAATCCGGGATCATGATACAAGGAGGGATCCCACCTTCGTAAATGACATGCCCGTTTGTGTCACAATGTCTTCTGGTCTCCGCCGGACACATAGCTGGACAAACCCATGTCCGAATGAAGTCAAAGTGACGTCAAATTATCATGATTTGTTTCCCGAGTATTTGGCCTTGCCCATCGAAAAGGGGATGTATCGATATTTGATCATATGTTGGATCTGGCGCCTCACTGTTGAAGAAATTAGCCGATTTGGTACAAGACAGGGTTAGGAAGCAAGATGACATACTCGTCAGAGCGAACAAGATCAACCAGTACATGACAAGGACTGGCCAGAATACTGGCAAGTTGAAGATTTCAAACCAGCTACACACAAAGCTGATGGCCACAGCCCTGGTGGCGGTATGCCAGAATTTGAATTCTGGGAGCCTGCGGATGAATGGACGAAATTCGTCGTCCTGCTTGGTGGGCAAAGCCGATTCCCCATCTTCCAAGCCTTCGTCTTGAGTTAAGCTAGGGTCGAACTTTGGTTGTAGAAAGGCGAGGAAGAGGTTGAGCAGGTAGATACCCAAGCAATACGCCACAATGTACCAGCCTTGTGCGAAAATGATTCTTAGGAAAAAGAGGAAAAGGAGGGTGCCAGTAGCTGCCCATCTGTAGGCAGTGTAAGGCGTTGACTTGTCGAGGTACGTCTGATATTGCTACAACGCGATATGTTAGCAAGGACATGTGACGCGTGACCGAAATCGCGGGAGGAGACACATACTCTGGCAATTTTGTTGCTCTGGGTGGTAATGGCATCAAATGGAGTCGACTCAGGCTCAGGCCCATCCATGGTTGAGGTCGGTTGATGAAAATTGAGGAAATTTGTCAGGTTTGCTCATCCGCAGAAGCGTTGACTACTGTTTTCGCTGCGGCCACTCGAGGTTGCAAGTGGAGATCGAACTTTCTATGAGGGAAGAAAGTAACACAGTCGAACAAACTGATAAGGGTAGAAGGAGGGGGGAGGAGGATTGTCGCGATGGAGGTCGACTTTAAGTTGAGTACGACGGTGTGGGATAGACTAGCAGGACGCGATTGTAAACCAGATGCGCAAGTTGAAGCCACGTCGTGCTTTTTCGCTGGACGAATTTCCCACCATCCACAGGCCGGGCAAAAGAGGCAAAGTCGATGGGGTGAACAAGGTTTGCCTGCGGTGATGAGGCAGGGGCAAACAGGAAACTAAGCCGGATCGAACGACGACAGATGGTCACGTGCTCATGCCCCAGCGCCCTCGACGAAAGTCATGTGACGAGAGCAGTCAAACGTCACGTGAGACCCCGGTTTCATTTCCTGAAGCCAACCCCTTCCCACGGACTGTCACCCCGCCCTTGTTCGGGCCGTTCTCGCTCTTTTCGCCGCAGCCGAGGAGTGACAAACACCAGTCCATCAGTTATCGCATGGGGTGCGTCTGTGGTATTCATCTCACCGAGATCTACCAATGTAATGCACCTCCTCATTCTTAGTTCCAACTGTCGGCTGTAGGCACCATTAGGAACGCCATTCGAGGTAGTAAAAATATGGAAATAGCTAATCCCTGTAGCAGCGAAGAGAGGTAGACTGGATGATGGGATAGTCACGTGATGCTCCACGATAATAAATGACCGTGGATGACGGATGACGGCAACGCTTACCCTCGGAGCTTCTCTGCAGAACATTTGGTACTCACAAGTCAGGACAACAATAAAATAATCTTGCTGAATGCTCTAATCTGTGTAAACATCCTCCCCTTTGATCTCACTACGCTGTTTCTCCTCTCCCTTCTCACCACCCGTCCTCCAACCACTAGCCATGTCGTCCTGTCGGGTCCTGGCTCGAACACGAACCGCTGCCCTCCTAACTTCTCGAATCCCTGTCCCGTCCCCAGCAGCACGCTCTCTCCCGAGACTCGTCCGTTTTCAGTCCACCCAAAGCAGCTATGAAAATATCCTCGTTTCTGCTCCCAAGCCTGGAGTTGGTCTGAGTGAGTGACTGCCCGACGCTCGTCAGCATATCCCCAAGGACGCAGCTAATACAATATTGTCACTCGCAGTCACCCTAAACCGACCAAAGGCTCTCAATGCCCTCTCAAGTGCCTTGTTCGTCGAGTTGAATGATGCGCTTAAAAAGTTTGAAGAAGATAAGGAAATTGGTGCCATCGTCTTGACCGGGAGCGAACGAGCTTTCGCCGGTATGCTCATGTTGAAACACCTTGTTCATGTTCGTTCATGATACTGACAACTCTGTTTCTTAGCGGGTGCTGACATCAAGGAAATGGCCCCTTTAACTTTCTCCGATGCCTATGTCAACAACTTCATAGCCCCATGGTCTTATCTGACCACGCTGCGCAAGCCTGTCATCGCTGCCGTCTCCGGACATGCTCTAGGCGGTGGTTGCGAGCTTGCCATGATGTGCGACATTGTCTACAGTACCAAAACGGCCAACTTTGGTCAGCCCGAAATCAAACTCGGCACGATTCCTGGTGCAGGAGGCTCCCAAAGGCTCACAGCGGCTATTGGAAAATCAAAAGCTATGGAGCTTATTCTGACGGGCAACAACTTCTCCGGTGAAGATGCGGAAAAGCATGGCCTAGTGGCCAAAGCATTTGACGGTGGACACCAGGAGGTGCTCCAAGGAGCAATTGATACTGCCGCCAAAATCGCCAGCTATTCACGCGTCGCAGTGATCGCTGCCAAAGAGGTTGTCAACAAGTCCCAGGACTTGGGAATCAGGGAGGGCGTCGAGTACGAGAGACGCATTTTCCACAGTTTGTTTGGAAGCCAGGACCAAAAGATCGGCATGAAGGCCTTCGCGGAGAAGAAAAAGGCTGAATGGAGCCATTCGTAGACCAATGATCCCGGCTCGCTGTACAGAAAGAGCCATTCGAAGGACCTATTACCTTCACCTAATTGGCCGCGTGCTCAGCAGTTCATTTCTCGTCAAGTGACTTGTGCGACCTTGCTGTAAACTCGATCTCTGCCGCGTGGATTCTATCTCGAACCGCTACTTTGATTGGGAGTGCTCGTAGGTACCCGTCGTATTTCGACCGTCCCATTGTCTTCTCCGAGACAATAACATCGTTATTTTGCATGAACATCAATCAACTGCAGCCTTCAACTCATCTGCCCCATCTCGTATCCACTCTGAACTCGACTCCGCCTTGCCTGCAGCGGATAGACCTCGACCGGCAGTAAAGGCAGCAATCAAGTTGTGGACCGGTCCCTTCCAGTCCGCAAGCGGGGCTGGTAGACTCCTTAAGACTGCCTGGCCAGCTTGTTGATTTGCCAATAGTGGTTTATTGTCTTCATCTCTAGTGACTTGTGTGGCCGCAGCTTTCCGTCTCGAAACCTCTTGCCTATGCCTTTGCAGAACCTCTGGGCGAACGTCTGGTGGGGCAAAGACGCTGGGCCAGGTCACCGATTTGAAATCGAGCTTGAACATCTCAAGCGCCATGTGACCCGGCGAGACGAGAATAATCTTTTCGTAGGCAGGCTCATGCCCAGTATATGGCTCCAGCATTCGAGCGAAACCATTATCGAGACACGCAGCAACAAAGATGGCTGCGCAATTCGGCGTCGATAGATAGAGATTGAAGTTTTCTGCATGAGCATTAGTCTCTTCACTGAGCGGGCATGGTACTTTCAAGTGCGATACGCGAGGAACACTATTAAAAATTGGCCGCGTGGGCGAGCAGCGAGGAGAGACATGCCTCGTCTCTAAATACTTGCAAGAAATTTCATAGCGGCATGAACTCACCTCGGATCTTGTCGTCCACTCGCTCCTTTCCCCTACCAGCATCGAAGTAATCAAACAGTGGCATTTTCTGGGTAAAGTCCAGGGCAAATGTCCGCGGACTTCGGTTCATCCTTTTAGCCGGTAGATTGAGATGGGATTCATAGCCATTCATGTTGCAGAAGACTCGAGTAATGATTTTGGACGAACCCGGGATCTGGCCTTTGGTTTCGAGAATGTATGCCAGAACCTGCTGTCTGATGCGGCTTGCCGCGATTGAGCCTGGGGTTTGATGCTCGGCGATATTGCGTGCAACGACCGGGGCCCCTTTGGAATCAAAGGCGTGAGCAAAGATCTCCGGTGCCCACTAAGGGTTCATAGTAAGCACTGCTCATTCCATGCGTCTGAAAATTGGTCAGCTTACATCGTACGCATCGCCGTCCACCAACACCACCACAAAGGGTTGCGGCGGCAATAGAATCTCACTGTGACGCCCCGAGAGAGTTGGCGCTTGGGCCCTTGGTTCAGCGACACATTTGAGGTATTCAAGGTCAAATTTTGCATTGACGTATCTCGCCTCCAGGTTATTGAGCGATTCAGTCTGGGTTTTGTATACTTCCTGTAGCTGTGCACACAGTCCCTTTTCCCTTGCGAGAGCACTTGCGTGCTGAGCTTTCAGTCGGCTTTGAGATTCGGAATATTGCCTTCGTTCCTTCTTCAGATCAGCGCTCAGGCGTTCATTTTCCTTGGTCACTTTTAGTAGCGTCTTTTCTCGAGATGCGAGATCTCGAGACTTGGATCTTAGAGCTTCGTTAAGTTCTTGAATGTCGGCCTGGTGCTGGGAAAGTCTGGCATCGGCTTTTTGAAGCTCTTTCTGGAAATCGTCAAACTTATCAGCAATATCGTCAAAGTTGTACTCTTGAATGGCAGAATTGTCGAGATCAGGCATCTGTTGCTCTTCGGTGGTCAGGGAGGAATTCGAGGTGGTGGAGGCAGTCTGCGAGCTGAGAAAGGGAAACCATGACATTGCCAATGTATTTGCTCTAATGACCAACAAACGACGAGGTGATATTGTCTGGTCATGCGACAGCAGACGAAGTAAGTCTCGAGGTGTCCGTGGGATTTAAAACCAGCCAAGGAGTGTGATGAGGGCGACAATTCAAGGTCTATGCACTTCCTTGGTAATCAGATGGATCAGATGAACCACTCATGGCGATATTAGGACTGGGAGAAGTGAGTCCAAATTTGGACATCCAAGAGCAGGAAAGTAAGACGATCTCCGCCTCGGCCCAACTACACAGGGATGGTCACTTTGATGTAGCCCATACAATGGTTGTTCGATGTGGGAGATGAGTCTTTCAGCAGGGTCAATGATGGTGCCAATTCATCAAAGAGTCTGCCAGCATTCTGACAGTCGTACAGGTGTTGGAAAAGAGAAGACTGTTTCGTACCCACGATGCCGATGAACACTCAGAGTTAGAGCGCTGCTGATGGGATGACTGTTGTATGTCGGATGGTCGTTGATCTGTGAGAGAGAGGTTGTCAAGTTATGATGACCACCGAATGCTTACGTGATTTTGCACGTGCCATGATCTGCCTGATATCACGTGCATCTAGAGAGATTTATACATAATCGTCGCGAATTCTTCAGTGCGGATCTACAATGGACTCCTAGCCTAGAATAAGTGGCTAAATCGGTAGCGAGCTCTGGTATTCTCGCTCGACCAGACGCACATGGCCGCAATGCATTGGCAAATAATTGCCAGTTGCTTGTTTGTATCTTTGGAATAGTCGAGCATTGGAACCCTTGGTCGGCTCAACATCTTGACGCAAATCAAGTCTTCAGCACTGCCACATGAAAGAAATTATGTATGAATCGCGGCCAAGAGGCTGTGTACTCCAAAGCAGCCATGATCAACGAGAAGAGATCTAGAGGATCCCTCCCTACACATCAGGCCTAGGTCATGATCGCACCATGTGCTCAAAAGCCTCGAGCCCCAGCGGCCATCCTCTCAAGACTAGGGACGGCATTGAAGTTAGCCAGACCCATTCCGCCATTGGCCCCAGCGATGGCTCCTGGGTGGATGGTCCGATTGCCCATATTCGGCTGCTCCTCTAAATCTTCATACCTCAAGGTGTATATCCGTCGGACCTTCTTCCAGACCTTGGTATCCCACCAAATGTAGTAACCTTGCTCACTGACCTTATCATCCAACAAGACTGGATTTGGTGAGGCGTCGTCTCGTGTCAGCCATTGTTTTTCCCGCATGTGATAGCGCCATTTCCGTGTCACCAATTCCTGGGCAACCAGCATCTGAGTGTAGTCACGGGGCATGGTGTAGAAGATGAAGAACAACGTCTCGTCCACAAAACCTTGAAGACGATCTGGGAGGTTGCCTATTTTCTTGACCGTGTAGCAGTCGGGGATCGTGTACTCGGACTCCAGTGGCTTGAGCGGTTGAGCCTGAGGATCTGCCCACGGGCCTGTATATGTTGGGAGTAGAGGCTCTTGCGAGTTCATGTTGATCCCCAATGTCGATAAATCGATTCCCCGCATCACTGCCCTAGTAGGCGCGCTCGAATTGTCCTGCTCGGCCATGTACCCCTTCATCCCGTATTTGTCACGATCCGTCATGGCTCCAAGAATAGATCCCACGGACTGTTCCCCACGTGAGCCCCCATCTCGGTCCAGACTATCCCTCGGCGGGTTTTGGGATGCGACATCGTGAGAGAAGTCTTTATGTTGCTGCCCGAGGAATCGATCGTGTCCAATGACGGCGTTTATATTCTGAGTAGGTGGAGACCGGGCTGCTAATCATTAGTCGTAAACAATGGTAAATCAAGTGCACACTGTACATAGTTGGGTATGCCCCGAAGGGGACGTAACTCTGCTCGGGTCACCAGATGTATCGTTGTGTGGATTGGATTGTCGTGCCAGACCCGGAGGTCCACTAGGGACCTGGCTACTCCGGCGAATCTGCTGTTGTGGCAGTTCCGAGGCAAATTCCATGGGCGCATTTCTGGAAAAGGTATCAGTCGGGTAGAATCCCTCCGAACCTGGATTGGCTGGTTGCTGTTGCTGCTGTTGCTGCTGCTGCTGCTGCCGTGACGAGAGGTGAGAGCGGGAAGACGACAGTTGCTGTCTTTGGGTCTGTTCGGCTTGTGGAGGTCCTGTCTGCCACGCACTTGTAGCAGCGTTGTGAGTTTGAGATTGAAGACCGCTATTGTTTAGACTGGGAAAGCTGATGTCAGGGTAAGCTCATGTTGGTAGTCAAGCCTGGGGGGCGGAATAATCGTACGATGACGAGGAAAGGTCCAAGGGTCCAGTCGATCTTGGATTCATCGCTGCTGCCCAGTTGTCGTGGGTGGCTTGGTCTCTGGTCGGTTGGGCTATCGCTTGTGACTGGGTTGAGGGCGGTAAGCCAGCTTGAGCCCACGTGCCTGTTGCCGTCAGTCCCATCCCATTGGAAAACTGCTCGGAAGTTCCAACATACCGCTTCTTGATGCCAATGTTTTACCATTGCTGGTGGATCTGGGTTGGTTGTGGGACATGGATGTGGTGGGCTGACCAGGACGGGGTTGCCCTATGTAATCCAGAGTCAGTATAGCTCATCTCAGCCAAGGACAAAAGGTGTTGATGGATCATATGGAGGGGCAATGCAAGGTGTTGAGCGTCAGTCCAGAACTCGGGTGATCGACGGAGGCCCCCAAAACCGATTGGAACATCGATCGCCAGCAAAAGGCTAAGATGTTGCACGATCTATGCCGAGTACCTCTCCTCACAGTCTTACACCCTTCTAACAAGGACTGGTAACGGCCAGAAGCACTGTGCTTTGGCTCGCATTGGGTTCGGAATGTAATGGCGCATGGCAAGAGGTCATGCCATCGGCATTCCTCAATTCCGGGCGTGACTCATGAATGATGGTTGTTAGATGGGCTGAATCCAATGCAAATCGCCTCCTCCTCATATCATCATGATGTCCATTGGCCTGCGCGTTGAAGCAGAGATCACTATCCACCACAGTTTGGAGCAACCTGGAGAGGCAGAAATCGAGGGTGTGGGTTGGGGATGACCTCAGTTCGTTCTATGCAAAACCAAATTGCTCCGTCGCTGAGATGCTGATGCGCAACAACGTGTTGATACCAGGCCGGATGGAGGAGGTGGAGATTTGCAGTGGACTCGATAGGAAGTGGAGGGAGAGGAGAGGGCGAAGACAGGCTGCGAAATAACGTACCTGTTCGATTCATATCAGCCTAGGGTTGAAGGGCTCGTAAGGAGGGTTCGAGAGGGGGGCGAGGGTATGAGGATTGATGGTTCAACGGCGTTGGGATATCGATGGTAGACGGAAAAGACTTGAACTCACGATTGAAGTGCAGACTGGAGATCGATTGTGATGCGCAGGCGCAGGCGCAGACGCAGATGGCGGGAGCCAAGGCGAGGAGTGGGGTGTGGAGAGTCACAAAGTGCACTTGAAGAAAAGTGCAGTTGAAGACTGCAAGAACAGCACTATGCCAAAAGGTATCGCTCCCCACCCATTTCACACCAAAATAGGCTTTACGACCCGCTTAACTTTAGGTACCTGCGTGCCTGGGGGCACTGCACATGGGCGACTAAGTACCTAGTAGTAGGTGCCCCTGGTACATACAGTACCTAGATGGAACTTGACCATAGGTAGGTGTGCATATGTAGGTACCTAGGTACCTTAAGGTAATTAGATAGGTACCTAAGTAGTACTTCTAGCCAGATACCTACCTATGGAGCGCCAAATGGCCCTATCAGCATTGAGGAGGTAGGTTAGTAAGGTAGCTACCTAGGTACCTAGAAGCAGCTATCGGCGCCTAACATTCGGGTCCAAGGGGCTCGTCACAGGCCATCCCAAGGATGACTATGGTGCCTGGGCCAGGGTAGACACCTGGAGTCGCCTGATCAAAAGATCGCCCAATGACAGTAACTATGAAGCTAGCCAGCGAGCGCAATCTAGGACATCATCTCGGATGTTCTACTCATTAAAGTGTCCTACGATATGGCATTCCTTGCCTGATCTCGTCGGTGGCCCCGTAAGAACAACGATTCCTTACGTGTCGACGAATGACACGACCGAAAGCGTCTACAGCAAAACCTGTCTGTCTAGTGTCCTCGCGAATTGTTCTGATTAGTACGCCTAGTTGAATGGCACTCGCTAAAGCACTCATGGCACGGCGCAATTCAGGCAAATCACAGCTTTTGGGCCTTTTACAGCAGTAGCCCGATGGCTAGTTCGACATTGCCATCGACCTGTTTGAGAGCTGCGATCGCTTCTTCTCGTGAAAACCCGAGTTCCGTCACCTGCGCTATTGATTCGGCTGATATAGGCCTCGCTTGACCAAAGTTGCTAGCACCCGCACCACCTTGAGGAGTTGACGATGTCGGGTCACTGGCTGCAGGTAGTCTTGCTTCACTGTGGGCTGTCGGCGGGTTTGATCCTTCAGTAGGAGGTTGCACTGTGCCTGTGGTCGTACCTACGGTGCTGCCATCGGGGGCGGACACCTTGGGCTCGCTTTCAAGGATTTCATCCATCATCTTCGGGATCTCGTTCTCTGACAAGAATTTGATTTCGTCGTCCTGCACGCGCAAGACGTTCTTCTTCAGGTCAATGCACATTTGATGGCGCTTGAGCATATCGAGACCTAGCAGCAAATCCACATCTTTGCCTTCCATGACCGTGAAGCTACTGGCAAGGTTGTACTGGCCGATTTGAATGTCGGCCGAATGTACTCGACCTAGGATGGTCGCAGTGCCAACACCACGTGCGATGCCACCGTATCTCTTGTCGATCAGCCGCAAGATGCCGCAGCGCTCTGCTGCCTGTGGAGACATGATGGTCGTTTGCGCACCCGAGTCGACAAAGGCCTTGATCGGTGTATTATTGACTGTTACGTCAATGTAGAGCATATGGACGCGGCCAAAGGCTACAATTTGTGTGAGCAATACAATCAGCCAAATGCGGCCATAACCGAGTCAACTTACACTCTGGGTTTTCTTCCATTGCCTTTTGAAGATTCTCCGACACCCTCTCTTGCCGGATCATTTCCTCGATCTTTTGTTGTGCTTCGACGTTGAATGGGTCGGCTTCGAGTAACGCTATCTGCTCCTCTTTCTCGCGTTGAACTTGCTCATGCTGTCTTTGCTTTGCCGCCCATAGGTTGTGGAAGGCCTCTCTATTTGCGCTGGCCATTGCGAGCTCTGGGTCGGCCTGTCGACATTGCTCCAACAACGCGGGATCTCCCAGGATTCTCAATCTCAAAGACTCGGGGTCATTTCCACTCCGTGTTCTCTGGGCCGGCTGGCCGTCGGTGCTATCCGGGCCTGGACGTCTTCGAGACCTGGTTGTCTGAATTGTCATGGCCACATTGTCTCCCTCGCCAATGCCTAGTCCGGTCAAACTCTGACTTGGATCGCGCACCGGGGTGCCATTCTGGAGAAAGTGTTGTGCGGACGGAGGGATGTTGGTCTCGGCTTCTACAATGGCCTTGAGATCATTCAAGGTCATGTCAGGCGAGACATCAAGGTTCAAGAAGTCCGAAGGGATTTCGACGTCGGATGCGATGATGGACACTGAGATCCGCCTATGTAGAATGTGTCAGCGGATGAAGATCAATGACCCTGACTGTCACATACATCTTGTAAGAAAGGTCGCAGCAGGACGGAGTCAAACAATAGTTCCCCTCGTTGGCTTGTTGGGGTAAGAATAGAGTCAGGGGATCGTCCGCTGCCCTTGAAGGAGTATCAGTTTGTTTTGGGTCCTTGTTCGTGTCTTTGACTGGAGTTTTGAAGCCTGTGAGGCCGATGACGTGGGGAATGGAAGCCTCCAGTTCTGGCTTAGTCACCATGGCTCAATTAGTTAAGTACACATTAGGCCATGGCCAGTACCTAGAAGGTACGTGAGGTACTTCTAGTCCCTCGCCTCCCCGCACCGCCTCGTTTGCTTATGTGTAGGATTATGATGCCTAAAAGTCAGGCTAAAAGTTCCGCGACTGCCACCTACTACTGCTCTGCTCCTAAGTACTTTAAGCAAATCCGTCGGCCGAGTGGGCTCCTCGGCCACTTGTGATTTCACTTCCATGGGCTTTCGCCTTAGACTCTGTTGTTCCTCAGCTGCTCAAGTGGAAGCAACAATGAATTAGTCGTCCTCAATTGAGATCGACCTCTGAGGCCTATCAATCGCCTGTTTGACCTGGAGAACGCTAGCACGCAGTGCCATGTGTACATATTAATGTACCAGATGCTACAGGTATTGAGTGCATCTAAATTTGAGTCTCACCTAGAGCTGGCAAGCCTGGGCCTTGCACTATTCAAACGCTCTGAATATTTTCGGAAGCTGGTAGAAAGAGGGGTCAGCACGGCTGCAGACGACGATATGCGTACACATACCATACCATGAACTGCGCTTGGCTTCCTGCTCACGCGACACAGACACGAAAAGCACAGAGACTTAGTCGATGTCAAAGTGAGAAGAAATTTCTTCATTCCCAATTTGCAATCTGAAATGCGACGTCAATGGTATAGTTTGGACACATGTGTAACTTTTAGGGGATAATGGACGGTCCTTGACAACCAATAACCCAAGGTTCTAAGGTACCTACTAACCAGGGAATAGGTACCTAAGGGAAGCACCTAAGACAGCTGAAGCGGGCACAAGGGATACCCAATGCCTGGAATTATTACTGTACTTAGTTGGCCCCAATGGCCCCATGGCCCCCTCGGCCCACCTTCAGGAAGCCTGAGGGATTCTTTTCGGGACATTGTCATAAGCTTAGCCTCCTAAACCTGCCCGCCCTGATCAAAAACTTAATACCTACAATCACCGACTAGGTACCTAGGTAGCTAGCCACCGTACAATGACACAATGGTGCTACCATAATATAGGCAACTAAATGCACAAAACGACTCGGTCCAGGCTCCGGCAAGGGCTCCTTCTCGCTCCCCCGTCGCAGATCGCTCATCCCTCATCGCTGCACTTTCCTCTTCCTCAAATCAGGCCTGTCGAGAAATTGTTCATTGCTCTTGTACATTTGTTCTCGGGCCTTGTTACCTCTAGTTTCTGTGCATTCCATGGGCATCACTAGATACCATTCGCGTGTCCGAACTTCTAGGTCTTTCATCTCAATCAAAGACGCCGCCTGATTCCCACTTTTAAATTGCATCACACCCTACAAGAGACTATAGCCATCATTCTTGTTCTCCGCTGGGTCCTGCAAATCCCCCACGGAAAATTTTCCAGAACCGCCAACGGTGAGGACAAAGTCATCTTCAATCGGATCCCCCAAGTTGGCAGTCCTGCAAAGGATCGAGCCTATCCTGGTTTCGCTAGGCTTGTACACCACATCGCACGACGACCTGAACAGTTGGCTATCGTTTCCAATCTCGGCACTCTGTCCAAACAAGTTGGCCGCAGAAGCAACAAAGCATGGCTCAAAACCCGGATTCGATAAGCCAATCAGATCTTCCTGCCCGCGGTTCTAGCCCTGCCAAGGATCTCGAAACGACAACCGATCAACTCTCCGAGGGCGACTTTGTTCCCATCACTCACAAAGACATTGAGATGCAAGACCATGACATAGATGAGAGCACGTCGGCATCTCAGCATCTAGACTTGCAACGGTTTGGCAACAATTTGCAGGACATAGACGACGCGAATGCCGTCGAAGACGATTCTGAAGACGATGACCACGATCCCATGGCAAATCATCCTTTACTGAACATGTTGAGCGGAAGGTTGGGCGCGCGTCGCCGCGGATCTAATCACAAGTGGGATCATCTACATCCCGAAAATCAGGCGCTCTCGGTCTCCAATGTGGATCAATGCACTGAGCTTGAGGAGCAAGCCTTTCCTCCAGAAGAAAGGGCCAGTCGAGAAAAGGTACGTCGAGCGAGGTCTAACAGTAGTATCTAACTCGGTACGCTTGAGGTCATAGCTAACACTAATTCGTCTCCAGTTTCAATATCGCCTGACTCGATGCCCTGAGCTTACCCTGGGCTTGTTCACTCAACCCACCAAAGCAGAAGCCGAGGCAAACTCCATCGTTGCAGAGAGAAGCTTGATTGCGCACGTCATTTCGACCAGGACGCCTTCCCCTTGTGTGACGGAGGCGTCGATGGAGGTTCCCGCCGATTGGAAATCCCGCCGCTCGTCACTTCCCAGCAAGGAAGACGATGACAACGAGCCCCTAGGCCACCAAGACCAAGGAGGGACCATCTGTATCCATTCAGTGGCAGTGTCTCCAAAGTATCAGAAGATTGGCCTCGGGACTGTGCTGATGAAGTCGTACATTGCGCGGATCAAGGATTCTAAGTCGGCGCAACGGCTGGCGCTGTTGGCGCATGACCATCTTGTACCCTTTTACCAGAGTTTTGGCTTTGAGAACATGGGCCCCAGCTCTGTGACCAGCCACGGTGGCCACTGGAACAACATGGTACGTTGACGATCATCGAGTCTTTAATAAACCAAGGACCGAGACATGGCTAACTTACAATAGATCCTCGACTTCAACTACGATGACGATGAATAGAATTGAGGAGATTGGAACGTGAGCAGACACGTGGTATAATCTGCACTATGAGACACAGCTCAAGTGTCAAGGAATTGGCTCTGGAATTGTGTACGGGTTCTACTATTTTCTGTCGAGCCAAGCCGAAAGATGTCAACGAGTCACGTTGTTGGAAGCGAGTCCACCATGCAGAACCGTGATCCAGGTGATAACTTTCAATGAATATAGGTACCTTGACGATGACACGGGAAGCCACGCAGATCAGTAGGCAGGTGTTGATGTGAATGTAGATGCGGCCGCTAGAGAGCGCTGCCGAGATCAATCATCTCTATTTCAAAGTATAGTTGAGGTTCTGGCGATATTTCGTCTTTGTAGCCACTTTGAAAAGAGGTGAGTGGAGGACGGTGGGGGTTGTTGGTACTGTGTTGTGTGTCGGCGAAGAGGCTGAACCTGGGGGGGTTCGTCATTCCAGTGGTAGATCCCTATGGGACCTAAGGCAGCGATGCATTGACCTCGCCCATATACGGCATGGGAGGATCCTCGTAGGCTAGCTTGGGCGTGCTCAGGCCTTGGTCTCCAATTCATCATGCCTACCAAGAAAGCCTGAGGGCCCCGTGGCCCCTATATGATTCAACCGTCGACCCCTACCCACCCCGGCTCTCACCATGGATCGGCAATAACAGCAAGAGTAATCATGCCGAACGTGGCGAGCGCGGCCGTCATGGACAATTGAAATTCGCGGCTGTCAATTGGTCTTTGGCTGCACCCCGTCGCTTCCAGACACCCGGTTTCTTCCTGTGACGCCTTGACCTTCTCCGTTCGCCGTCGATGTTCATGTTGATGGGCTTAGCGTCCATCAGCTCTTTGCTCGAAGCAAACCCACTTCCCCATCATCTTGTCATCATCACGCATTCATTCGTGTCGTCGTTTCTTTGCTTCCCACGAGTTCCTCCCATCATCAGACGATACTTGTTTCGCCACGTTCGCTCGTCGTTTGTACAGACACTGAAGACGCAGCGTGAATCAAGCGCCCCGTCCCCCTTCAAGCAGTGCCGCATCTCATATGTCGGACTTGTACGCTTCGACATCCGACTAGCCCGCCCACTGTCTACCTCGCAACCATCGCAGTCCACCACCTGGCTGAATCAGCTTTCTGATCACCCCGGCCAGTTTTTCATCCCTCCTACCTCGAACCTCGCGGCCGAATCGCTGTTGTACATACGTGCGCTCTCTACCTCAACCTCCACGATAAAAACCAACTGCAGTGACACTCAGCCACTCGCTCGCAACGACAGGCAGTGTAGACTGAAAGCTTTGGCAACCCTTAACACCTGGGAATCTGCCAGAGACGAGCGCTCTGTGCCGCTTGCGACGAGAGGTCTATTCAAAAGCAATTCGGTCTACACAGCCTGGGTTTGCCCATGATGCCGGGAACCAATCGTCCCTTCTTTGCCAACTTCTTCTCGGCATTCCGAGCCCGCACCAGCCCAACCTTTTCTGCAAAGACGGCATCTACATATGATGTCGTTTCGTCCAACAGTCTCATTGCATCACCTCATGTATCAACGACACACACGAACGCCACTGCCGGCGGAAGCAGGACGATGACGACAAGAGCAAGCGACGCCGGTCCTGTAGTGTCGCAAACGCTTCAGGGTCAGAGCCAGTCTAAGGCAGTGTCTTCATCATCCCCGACAGGTCCTCTACCATTCTCAGCTGCGTCAAGCAGCTCCCATCACCGTTACGCCACCCCACTTTCTCGATCTCCTGGCACCTCATCACCCGTTGGTCATTCACACTCGAATTCATCTCACAATCCTGCTAGCCTTTCAATATCGCCTCCAGCGACGTCTCGTGGCCGGCAGCGACGGGGAAGTGATAGCTCCAATTCGAGCGGGGGCTTTATGGACGCCATTGGTCACGAAAAGTGGTACATCGGCGGGCGAAATGCGGCAGGAGAAGAAACATTCTACAAACTCGGCCTGGTGACTGGGGGAACGGGTCGCAGAGTGAGGAGCCTGGATCGATTGAGTCTTTAAGCCACTGCCAGGCCTGGAGATGCAAGATATTTGTGCCATGAACAAGGGCAAAGTTAAGCGGACTTGCGAGATCTAGCGAAACACTGAATGGTCACGAAAGATTAGGACAACGAAGTGATGGCTACCTCGGGGCATGGGCTCAAATAGGACCTGCCATGCCTCGTTTATATTCTGAAGGCGGACGTTTCAGCTTTTGGAGATATCACAACATGCGTAGAGAACTTGGAACAGTCCAATGGATTGTTGAGATTCTTTGATTGCCTCAGATTGGCGGAGCACTCTAGTTTTCAAATCCCCTCGACAGACGATCGAGAAGGCGTCAGGCGCCAGGCAAAAAAGAAGCACGGGGCGAGAGCTCTATGTATTGGGATGAGTTGCCGCAGCATGAATTACAGTTACTCGAGACAGGTTCTTAGAAAACCAGTGGCTACCTTTGATCTACCTACTCTGAGCATGCGACCGTTCCCCCCTCGATGGGGGTGAAGTCTCGTCCTCGTTCGGGCAATGAACTTGATCACATACCGGCTGCCAGGTGACATGGAATGACAATCGCAGATTCGTCTTGGCGATGGCGTGACGAAGGCTCCTAGCCGGAGCTTGCCACCAAATGAGGGGACGACGGCACACCCACGACACCGCTCCAGATAAATACAATATGTGAGTACTCATTAAAGCTATGAGAGCTCTATTTGAGTCTTCTGTGAAGGTCGCGAGGAGTGGGATCGACGTCGCTTCCTGCCTACAACATCGTTGATGTCACACACGTATAATCATGTGCGTGGTATCTCGGATGTTCTCCGAGATCCAATCTCGCTACATTTAGATCTGGGTTCGACCAGTGGTGAAATACAATTTTTTCGGTATGTACGCATACAGTATGCACGTGCACCGACATGACATCTAGGATCTGTTGGCGCCCATGTACTTCAAGATTGGCATGGTTCTGGCCTAAATGCCCAAAGACCGATAAGGTAGGGAGAAGCCCTTACCTACCGCCGATCAACCAAGGACATCAGGCACCGTACAATAGGTCGTGTGGCAAAAGAAAGGGAATATGGAGGACTAGAATACCATCGATATCGGGCAAAGGCTGTAGGCGGTGAACGCAAAAGATACGAGTGGACGTGTGCGGTGAAGGATCAGGACAAGCAGTCTTTGGACATCTCTAACCTGTTGCCTGCCATGAATACGAACAAGAAAAGGTTCATGGGTCAGACAGGGGTTTGTTCTAGTCCACCCCACTGACAATGAAGCTGGACATGGGAATGTGGAATGATCTGGCCCTGGTTCACGCAAAAGGTTGAGCCCAAGAAGCCTTGTGCACTCACAGAAGCTGCCTCGACCACAACCTGCAGCCTCAAATATCTATTCTCAGCCGATTTGAAAGAAGTCTCAGACGGCCGTCTAATTGCGAAGCGAACCAGGAGAGGAGCATATCGACATCGCTTTCACCGGGGGCGAACAAAGGACTCATTCAAGGGATCTTGTTGCTGTCGAGTGGAAGCAGGGATCTCAAGCCATGTTACTCAGTTGCTTGCTCTCTACAGTAGTGATATTACGGCCCAATCACCCGTGAATACCGCAAGAGCGCAATATTATCTGATCTACTAGCAACGCCACAAGTCGACAGGTCGTGTCACAGATCCAGGTTCGGGTTCTACTTAGTACATGATGTCCTGTAGGCTTTCTCATGGTCGACTAAAATGTGACTCAACACATCGATTGACTGTGACAAATGTATATTGCACATTCTGCATCATTCTTAGGGAGGCACATACTTCCTGAACATATTTAGCACGCTTGGAATAAAGCATTATGCTGTATATGGGCATATGTACCTAGGTATGTGGTAGGCTGACGGTAGGCGGCACTGAGGACCCTCCCCCCCCCCGTTGGTCTGTGGATCCCTGTGGTTAAAGGTGCCACCAGCCTATTGCGAAGGGGGAGGGGCAATAGGGAACCCGAGAAGCCCCTCGCCCCCACGCTCCCTCGGCTCCCATAGGCATACGGAGTCCTCCCTGGTGGTTGGCCCCTCCGGCCTGCCTTATGTATTGTACATATCGTACGATCCGCATGGGGGAGCTCTGCGTGACCTGGGAGCTAATGCTTCGTTCCGCACCCGCTAAATCTTAGTTAAAATCTGTCAATCAACTGACCCGAGACCCACCTGTGCGATCATCTGGGGGGGGCACCTCGACTGGCAAGTATTGTGGTACATAGTACCTAGGTAGTATTTTATTGTTAGACTGTATGTAGTATCACCACCTTACCATTATCTGCAAATGATGCAGCTGCTTCCTCTTCCTCATTACCCACTGAAAACACTGTGGCAATAAAAGATACCAGCTTCCAGCCAACGTCCATTTCGTATAAACTGCATCCAAGTCCAGCCATCGCACAGTCAAAAGCCCATCAGAGTTCCCTCAGCCTTTCCCTCTCTAATGTCGACATCAACTATACCTCCCACCTCATATTGCTGGTGCTTCTCCCTCGACAGCCTAATGCCTGTTCCTTCATTGAAAAGTTCCACCTCTCCGTGAGGTCCCCGTCATGAATCCTCTCAAGCGTCCAGCCCTCGACGAGCCTGACGTTGCAGGGACTCGCTCTGGCCACGCCTTTTTCCAAAACTCTGACGCTAAATCATCGTTTCCCTCAAGTCGGCTAAGTCCACCACTCAGCATCGCTTCAACATGCTCCTGTTCTCGCCTGCACCCCATAGCCCATGTTTTCTCCCTATTTCCAAATCCCGTCGTGGTTCTCGACAAAGACAATTGTGTGGTTCAAACGTCAAAGTCATATCCTCTCCTTTTTGGAACCCCTCCCCGGCATATTCAGGGTCATAACTTCTTCGACGTTGTCAGAGGTAGCATCGTCACAGAAAACCTCGCCCTCGTTGCCCACACCATCCATGTCGCAGCCCAATCCCATTCTGAACAAAGGACTGAGCCACTTCAGCCCGGACAATCATCTGCTTGGTGGCGCCTTCGGGCTCTGCCTATCTGCAATGAACATGATGAGCTACTATATGTCATCATCGAAGGACAAGATGCAACCCACGAGGTAGAACAGGCCATTTCCAGACAGGCCAAGCCCGCTGCCTCTGAAACATATCGAAATCTTGTCAGTAATATTAGAGATTATGCCATATTCATGCTAGACCCGAAGGGCCACGTCTCGACCTGGAACACCGGTGCGAGCATCTTAAAACAGTATTCACGCGATGAGATCCTGGGCAAACACTTTTCCACTTTCTACACCCAACCCGACCGCATATCCAAGAAGCCTGACAAGGAGCTCGAACTCGCTCTACGAGACGGCAAAGTCGAAGACGAAGGCTGGCGGGTCAAGAAGGACGGATCTCGATTCTGGGCCAACGTCATCATCGCACCAGTCTATCGTGAAGGTGTCTTGCAAGGCTTCAGCAAGGTGACTCGTGATCTGACGGAGAGAAAGGCAGGCGAGGCGAGGCTGATTGCTGCTTACGAGGAATCCTCCAAACTCAAGTCTGACTTTCTTGCCAATATGAGCCACGAAATCAGAACCCCCATGCATGGCATGCTTACTGCATTGGGCCTCTTGATCGATACCGGCCTCACCGAGCCACAAAGAGAGCTCGCCAACATCATTGATGAATCCGGTGGCATCTTGCTACAGGTCATCAATGACATCTTAGACTATTCCAAGTTGGCCTCCGGCGCTTTCTCCATCACAAAAGAGGCCATGAACGTCGCCGAAATCGTCGCCGCCGTTCAACGATGTTGCAAAGTTGGCTCAGATCACGGCCCAAGCTTTGAGATTGCCATTGACTCTCGAGTGCCTTCAGTCGTTCAAAGTGATCCCCTCCGCTACCGTCAAATTCTTCAAAACCTCGTCTCTAACGCGGTCAAATTCACCGAGCACGGTTACATCCGTCTTGCCGTAGCCGTCAGCCACGAGGATGATGAGTCGTACTGCCTGAGGACTGAGGTCACCGACACCGGCATTGGTGTGCCTTCTGATTCAGAAAACTTCCTCTTCACCCCTTTCACTCAACTGGACAAGTTCTCTACTAAGCGTTACAAAGGTACTGGACTCGGTCTATCGATCTGCAAAAGCTTAGCTGAACTCATGGGCGGATCCATTGGCTATCGCCAAAATTCGGATGGCCCCGGGAGTACCTTCTTCTTTACGGCCAATGTGCACAAACTAGACTCAATTCCAAACAAAACCGCGACATCTGTCCCCGTTCCCGACGTTGATATCCGGGAGCTTGCACAAAACAAGCAATTACTCCTCGTTGAAGACAACGTTATCAATCAGACAGTAATGGTGAGACTTCTGAATGGCTTTGGCTTTGCAAGAGTTGATGTTGCCGCCGATGGCGCCGAGGGACTAAAGCTCATCAAGCAGAAGCCATTGACGTACAGCATCGTACTCATGGACATCAGCATGCCGGTCATGGACGGAGTCACTGCCACACAACAGATCAGGGCCTCGGGCTCCCAGGTCCCCATTATTGCAATGACCGCTAATGCTCTCAAGGGCGATGAAGAAGCTTATCTAGCAAAAGGCATGAACGGCTATGTCGCCAAGCCTGTGGACCAGAGGCTGTTGTTACAAACATTGATACGCTGGTTGCGCTGATGTCCTGCTCATAGCATGGCCCCTCGTTGATGGCTCCTTCTCTTCTCTTCTACTCTCTGCTCCTATCACCACCCATCTCGTGACCTGCATACGATTTGAATGTCGTGAATTCCTTTGAAGCCCCAAGGCTACGCGTTCGAGTTCGGCCCGGACGCAGGATGGCAGGCCCCCTTGTCATGGCCAATGCAGGCAATCGAAAGAGTTGCGTCTATCTCCTACATCCCGACTTGTCCCCGTCCTGTTTATCTTCTTTCTAAGAGGCAAGCAACTATCGGGACTTGCGTGAGCTAAACATGGCAATGAACCTGTGGCCAGTCCAAGTATAATGCAAAATGCATTCTGGCATTATTGGACTGATATCTATGGTATTGAGGGTAGAGTCACGACTCGGTAGCATTCCACTAATCTGATTAGAACCACCACACAACTGACGACTAAATTTCGCATGCTTCTACTTACAACGGGACCGTTCACAGGCCTTGCCGACGTAGAGAGATATGAGTATGCACTGTCGCGCAGCACCATTTTCAGGGTGTCTGCGTGGGCCATTTATCTGGACTTGGATTGTCCGAGAAGCAACCTCTCATCAATCGTTGAAGTCGACGTTGGCTGATTTGGAGCCGATCGATCGATTCGAGAGAGAATCATTGCCGGGACTGCTCATGCCATGCGTCATGAACCCTCACCTTGTCAACCCGATGTGGCACTATATGATTGGACAGCTATGCATTGCATTGCTGTCAAAAATCTTGATATTGAGAGATACTCCGTGATTACATAAAGAGGGCTCGGAAGTCGCACCGCCAGAGGGTCCTTTCTTCCCTGTCGATGCCATCAACTTTTACGCAGGAATATGACAAGATGGGCCTGAACTCTGACAGTTTGCACATATTCCTTCCAAGCCACCTGTATCCGATATCATTTGTGATTGTCGGCATTGTTGGAGCCCTCGTTTGCTTGATCGTTTCTCACTTTGCTCGACGACAGAAGACAGTGTTGCCAGACTTACCGTGGGTCGGCAACAATAGCACTAGATGGTTTGGCATTCTTCGGACGAGATGGTGGACAATGTTAAATTACGAGAGTGCATTAGCCCTCGCGTATCGAGAGGTAAGTCCTGCGATGTGATGATCAGCCCTTGAGACTCGACCCTTGGAGATTTCGCTCATTGGAGATGAACTATTCGTCTCCCATGCTGGCATGCCCTAACGATTATACTGTGTTAGTATGGCCAAAAGGATAAGGCATGTATCCTCGGCACTCTGGACGGGGAAGTTGTATTGCTCCCACCATCCAGTATTCCCTGGTTGATCTCGCAACCCTCGCATATCCTTTCCGTCAACGGTGCACACAAGCACATCTTGCAAACAAAGTACTCTTTCCCGCGACCCGAGATTATGGACCCCACGGTCCATTTTGATGTGATCAGATCTGAACTTACACGTCAAATGTTTTCCATCACGTCCGAGGTAAGTGATGAGATGCGGGCGGCCATCAGCGACGTATTTGGAGAGGATCCCAACTCCTGGAGAGAAGTCAAGTTGTTTGATGCAGTCATCAAGATTATCGCCAGGACGAGTAATCGTGTATTTGTGGGTCTGCCTCTCTGTAAGTCCGTGTCGTTCCCAAGCGAAACTTAACTCCTTTTCTGAACCATCGGAGTTGTTTCTGTGTTGTCACTTGATCGTCGTGCCTTCTGACTTGCACCCAATGTCTTATGTAGGTCGAGATGAGGAGTATCTGCAGAACGCGATCGGATTTGCAGAAGACATTGCCCTCTCCGCCACGGTGCTTCGATTGATGCCCACGTGGCTTCTACCGGTAGTCGCACGTATTACAACCCACTCCAATAGGAAGCACGCACGAGCATACACCGACATTCTTCGTTCCGAGGTTCTTCATCGTCAAAGTTCGGAGCAGCAGCAGGTGGCAGAAAAGCCAGGGGTTATCGCTAAGAATGATTTCCTGCAGTGGCTCCTCACTCGTTCGATAAACAGAGATTACGGCCAAGGCCCTGATGAGACAGACCCTGAGATAATATGTGCAAGATTATTGCACACCAACTTTGCCAGTGTCCACACTACAGGATTCATTGGTACAAACGCAATATTGGACATTCTGGCTGCGCCAACATCTGACCAAGTCATTGAAACCCTTCGCCAAGAAGCTCTTGATACCATTGACACCGAGTCGGGGCTCGAATCCAAATCCTCGTTGTCCTGGTCGAGAGCTTCGCTGCAGAAGCAGCACCTTTTCGATTCAGTACTGCGAGAGTCTGCTAGGAAGGCATCGATCATTGGCGTTGGAGTCAACCACTATGTCGTGGCCCCGGAAGGCATTACAACCGCAGATGGGATCCACCTCCCACAAGGCTGCATGCTTGCAACCCACAGCTGGGGATTGCACCATGATGAAGACATCTACTCTGATGCGCGCCGGTTCAAAGCATTCCGCTTCGCCGAGATGTGCAAGAACAGCCCCGGCGATTTTGACGATGGCAACAAATTTCCGGATGGAGGGAATCTTCAGTTTATTGCGACCAGCGAGCGATACCTCGGGTTTGGGCATGGCAGGCACGCGTGTCCTGGCCGATTCTTCGCAAGCGCCGAGCTGAAGCTGTTGTTGGCGTACCTCTTGGTACACTACGATCTGGAGATTGTCGGTGCAAAGAAGGGGGAGAGACCACCTTGCTTCTGGGCCGGGCCCAACCATGTACCGCCTATGAGTGCCAGAGTCAAAGCCAGAAGGAGGAGGTCTGTGACTTGATTGAGAACGAGACGACGAGGTACAGATACCAATGACGCGCACAGACTGCGCGTCAACTGTTGAGATCAGCTCCGCATTTCACTTGGGAGAAGGTCTAAATGTTGAATGGAAGAGGATCATGGAGTCTCCTTTGAAGCCCATTGTCCAGTGAAGTGGGTCGCCGGTCAACTGAATCTTGGTACCAAGTAGTCTCAGTTCAGGTTTGCTTCGACTGTCGCGGAAAGCTCTGACGTGACATGCCGGGCATTCCAAAAACCTTTCCCGTAGCTCACCACAATCTCCTGGCCTTTGGCAATGCCTTTGGCTCGAGGGCCTTTGAGGCTCTTGCCTTTGTCGAGGACAAAGACACCTATCCTCTTCTCCCACACACCTGCGCTCACCTGAAAGGCGCAGTCGCGGAACTCGGCATTTGGGCCTTCTAATCGTACGCCACGGTAGTCATTGATGAACCTAGCTTCGTTACCGCATCGTGTAGCATCGATGGAGATGTCGTGTTCTCGGTCTAAGCTAAGATCGTAATCTGAGGCAGGGTCAGTGGTGGCACTGGTATGCACAAGACCGAGATAGAATAAGATAAATGATCCTGGTGAGAGGGATCTCGTAGCAAAGAGCCCGTTCTGTCCAAAGGCGGGGTGTGTCGGGTTGGTGATAGGTAAGATATTTGTCCACAAACTCGGCGCCGCTGGTCGAGACGCTATGAGTGGCAGAGTGCCAGGACTCGGTGATCTGAGCGTCGCCGGGTCCACTGAAGGCATCAAGGAGAGTGAAGTCAGATATTGGACTTCTTGGGGCCAGTTCTTGGGTTTGAGGCTGCTTTTGGTCATGGCGTGGGCGAAACTGATGCGAGCCTGCTATGCTTCTATAGGTTGAGCGAGCCGGGGCTTACACACTCTGTATAGCCACCGTCACATCATTATCCGAAAAGAGGAGAAGGTCTCGAATTGCTGTCTCAGCAGTTGTCTGACATATTTGCTTGGTCAGAGCGTGATAAGCACCTTTCAAGTAGTGACTCCTGGTGAGGTTGAGATATCAAAAGTGGGAAAGTAAAGTCTTGGCATTGGAATATAAAATATACAAGTTAAAGCTGGGCCTTAACGACAAGTTGAGGATGTCACATGGTGGTATCTGGGACCTGCTACGACAGACCGCATGTTACATGCTCGCAAATTACAAATTACTGGAAGAAGATTGGAGTGGATTATTCAATGCTCACATGCTCCCCTCGTGAAAACACAGGATTTGGCGTGACTGGGATTGAACAACATCAGTGCTTCGTGTCCCATAGAAGAGCCACCCACTCAGGCTTTTCGATTGGTTTACTAGTATTCTCAGCTCGGTCTACGTCGTCCTACTTGATAAGTTTGATGAGATGTCGCTTTTCTTGCTTCATTGAATGGAAGTGAAGTATTGGGCCCTTGGATGGTGACAACAATACACCGGCCGAGGTCATACAAATACTGCTTATCACGGATGTTGCGTGACCTACACGCAGATGGCCACCAGCTGCTGACTGTGAGTGGTGCTCGAAACCATCAATCGCACGAGCCTGCCCCTGTGCCAGAAGCTTTCACTTCAGAGGGCGAAAGCATCTGGATGGTCAGACTGACAATGGTCCCTTGATCCGGCTTAGGAGTTTGATATCTCAAAGGTGAAGTCGACGTCGCCCTGTCCCAGGGGGATAGGCTCCGAGTTCTGATCGTAGAGGGTTCTTTCGAAAAAGCGTACTCGGCCAGTCTTGTCAGCCAGAACTACAGTTTGCTTCTGGGTTCCGTAGAGACCACTGATACCTAATTGATGAGATTGCGTCGAGGCAGCGTGAGCAGGGCTTCCGTTCCGTAACGGGGTATTGTGGCCGACAACGTCTACCTTTTCGCTCTTCTTGGCGGCTTGGATTTCGTCCTTGGGAAGGCCAGTCATGTCTCGTCTACCTAGGGCGGGGACGAAGATGGACTCTCGAAGGTCTTCGATGTAGGTTTCGAGACTAGTCTGATCGCCATGGTCTACCCGTGGAAGAGTGTCGTGACTGAGAAGTTGGAGGAATCTGTGGATTAATTGATCTTCAGACTCGGCCTGGTCTATGCTGGCACGGATGGAATTGAGCATGAGCTCTTCGCCTAAGAGGACCTTGTTCCACGACCGATCGTTGAACGCCGCGTTGCTCAAGCCAACGGTCTGAATGGTGTCGCCGACGATAAAGGGAACCTGGCTCTGGTCCTCTGCTCGATTGGAAATGACAGCAAGCTTGTCACCGATATTGCCACAAACAAGGCTGAAGCCACCTGCGTCCTTGGCGATGCCAGTATTGACAACGTCCTTGACAAAGGTCTGCACAGAGCCAACGTCTTCAGAGAGAAACTTCTTGATGATGGCACCACGGCTGATGGCAAAGGCAGGCGGCGTCTCATATTCACGGTAATTGGTCAGGACGGCGACCTTGCCCTGTTTACTCACTCCCAGCCAAGTGCCATGAATATCACGCAACATGTCCCGTCCACCTAGGACATGGGTGTCAGGTTCCGGCCACCATGTTGCCTGATCGGTGGGACGGTTGAGGTATTCGTCACGATTGTCGAGAAGAATAAGTGGGTATGATGGGTGTGCACTGGAGATCAATGCAATGCACATCTTCAGCGACGTGCTATCAGAATGCGATGGTGGGAAACCTCGATTAGATTCGCTGCAGCTGTTGAAAATATCGGCGCGCCGTGACAGAGTTATTGATTGGAAAGCTTGGGCACCAGCTGTGGCCAGATTAAGCCTACTTCCTACGAGTCTCTGTGCTTGAGGTTCCTCGGCCTTGCTCGGCATGAGCGGGGGGACGATCGACTGACGTGCCAGCTCATGGGTGTCACACTCACAGTTATAGGGTGCCAAGTCTGTATGAACAGAGGGGTTCTTGGGTCTCACTTGTTATTATGATAGTCGACTGATATAACGATGACCGAACTTAGATGGTAGCCCGCCCATCGAGGTGGAAAGGCCTGGGCTAAAGAGAATTGTCAGAAGCAGACACATCTGATAACTGCCCAGACTGCTCTGTCTCAGCAGGACTGACATCTTAGACCCATGTGTCCATTCTTGTCGATGTTTTGGCCAAGCGTCGGGAGGATGCTGATGACGATTTTGCCGAGCCATTGTATTGCATACACACACACAAACAGGTTCCAAGTAGGTGCTTGTGAAGGTACTCGGTACTCTTGGGGATGGTAACCTATGTATATAGCTATCTACAGTACAAGTTCTGGAGACTAATGTTTAATGTGTCTCTGGGGCATCACCAGAAAAAGGTAATACCGCCAAATACATTAGTATAGGTACCTAACCTAGCCACTCCGTATATTAGGTAGGGATGGGAAGGGGGGGGTGAAATACCCCGCATTGTAATAGGTAGGTACCTTACCTACGGAGTAGGGTGCAAGGTACTAGGTCCCTATGAGTATTAACCTCCCAGTGCAGGCCTCTGTCGTTAGTTTGTTAAATAGCACAGCGGCACAGGCGCCTGTTACATACCGCCCCCTAGCCTAACACAACGCCCAAGGGAACCTGCAGGGTCCTAGGGTCCTCTAGAAGAAGTTGAAGAATCTTACGTATGTGTCTCCTCAGGTGGGGAATCCTTCACGTACATAATAATATTCCAAGTACTCCGTACAGCAACTACGGATACTTACATCACTCACACCTGCCTCCACCCACCACTTACTGTCCACATCTAGGCTGCTCCTGCCGCTGCTGCCGCTGCTCTTGCTGAAATATATCATCTTCATCATTCGTTACCACACGAAGCAGAACTTCACATAAACACCACTTATTCTCTTCTCCTGATCTCAAGGCAAGGGGTTTCTCCGTAGTCTTCGTCCTTCCCCTCTCTCCTCCTCGTCCACAATACCTCCTGTCACCGTCTTATCTTGACAGTCGTCTGCCCCCAAACCCTCGCTCGAGCCATTCCCTCTGTACCCTGCCTGTTCCAGTGTTCAACTGGCTATAGCTATGTTCGGAATTGTGGCAGATCTGATTGCGTATGTAGATTTGCACACAGAAGTCAAGACCTACTCTCTGCTCAAATTCAGTAGACTGACTTTCGGGTTTCCACAGTTCTGTCACCACCATCCTCCTGCCTGCCTACCTTTCATACAAAGCCCTCCGCACAAATGATCCAGCACAGATTCACCCATGGCTGATTTACTTCACCATCCTCACCCTCACCCTATTCGCCGAATCCTGGACAATCTTCATCCTGGGCTGGGTGCCCTTCTACAGCTGGTTTCGCCTCATGTTCATGCTTTACCTTGTCCTTCCTCAGACCCAAGGGGCCAAGATCCTCTATCTCGACTACCTTGAACCCTACATTGTTGCCCATGAAACTCGGATCGACCAGTTCATTGGGGACGTTCATCACCGATTGCAGCAGGTCGGCCTCGGCTACGTCAACATCCTGGTCGAATGGTTGCGCGAACGAGTCCTGGGCCAGAAAAACCCGCAGCCGCAACAGCCCCAGGATGCTAGCTACACAAGCTATGCCTCTGACCTCCTCTCTCGCTTTGCCATTCCCGGAGCGCGGTCTAATGCCCCGATGCTCCCAGGAAAGCCATCTGCTGGAGTCTATGGTCTGGTTTCTGGCCTTGCCGGGGCTGCCTTTGCTTCTCAGTCTGGTTCAACTTCACGTTCTCTGGCGACCGAGGCTGGCAACATCCCCAACTCGCTTGTGAGCGAGATCCCAGGCGGATCAAATCAAGAGAAGTCATCATACATCCAATCCCAGCGTGAGCGACTTTCTTCGCTGCTGCGGGCCCTGGACACGGAGCAGCAAAATCTTGACCTTGCTTATGGATCGTCGGGTCAACGATCAGCCAGTTCAGGTTCAGGCCTTCAGACAAAGTCAAGGAGCGAACAGTCTTTCGAAAACGTCGATTACGATGATGCAACCCACACCCCGGGTACGGGTACCTCAAGCTACGGATCGACTCCCCCGAAAGCCGTGACGGAACGCCGCAGCCCAAGTGGTAATTGGATCTCCTCTGGTGTTTCTGGCTGGCTCGGTGGATCAGATGGCAATCAAGATCCCCGCGATCGTGGCTCAAAAGGATGGCAGATGGCCCGTGATATGACGGAAGATATTGCTAAGGGCATGAGCAGTGGTATCGATAATAATCGGCGCTAACACCACCTATTTGATGCCACTGAAGCTATGAATGTTGACGGCGTTGGGATGACCGGGTTCAGGCTGGGCACGGGATGATAGAATCGACCAATGCCCGTAATAATTGGGGAAAAATGAAAATATGTACCATGCCATATCCAAACACAGGGACTTGTGGCCTCGAGTCCCTTGTACTAAACTGTAGGTAGACCGAGTTTCGACTTGTTCAAATGGACGGCGATACATGAGTTCCAACTCGCAGATCACGCCGTCCTTTCCCTTTCAAGGACAAACTACTGCAGGAACCAGGGCAACCCAGCGTAGCGCAGCGCAGCGGTTAAGCCCCAAGACGGGGGATGAGTCAAAGTGAAGTGGGGGACTCATAGATCTCTCACTTGGAGGTGGGAGTGCTGGGAATCTCTCTGACGCATCAAGACACAAAAGGACTTTCAAGACACCCAGTGAGCTCAATAGAGGATTCACGTCCAGTCCATGTTGGCCGTGTCCATCCACTGTGACTCCAGCAAGGTGTTTGTGATCAAGGCCTCTAAGTCGACCCACAGCCCGTGCTCTGCGGACCAGGATTGCCAGACTTTGACCCTACGATTTCACCCGCTTGGACTCTTACTCCGTAGACTAGAATGACTGCTTGACTTTTACAGTTCCATCGTCGCCCACGTCATCCCATGCTAACCATTGTCAGAGCTAATAAGTAGTCTTGATTCCCCTTGGACCTCATCTGCTCGCATTTCGCAAGGACCGCATCGTCCAAAGTTGTCCAGGCTCTTTGCCCACTGCCATGGCTTTTGGCTTCCTTGTCACTTTCTTTTGCACCGTGTCTGCGCTTCCCACTCTTTTCCCGCAGGAACCATTGAAACCAAAGGATCATTCTCAAGGTTATAAATTTGATCCTCTCCTGCATCTGCCAGGAATATCGCCATACTTTGACGCTCTGGGTTTTGGACTCGATCACGCCCCGCCGGAAGGCTGTCATGTCACGGCAGCTTCGTATCTTATTCGACACGCGGCAATTTATGCAAACGATGACGAGTATGAGGAATATATTAAGCCATTTCTCTGGAAACTAGAGCAACACCGCGATGGCTGGTCTGGTCCCTTGGACTTTATGGCCACCTGGCAGTCGCCCATTCTCGAGGATAAGCTCGAAGACATCACACCGTCGGGTGCCGCCGACGCGAAGAAAGTTGGGTCTCACCTGCTCAAGCACTACCCTGAATTGGCCCCTACAGTAGGCAGAGTTCTAGCGGACAAGAAGGCTCGGACCTACGACACGGCGAGAGCGCTGGTTGAGGCATTCCCACAAAGTCAGAAAATCGAAGTGGTCCAGATCAAGCGTGACAAGAATGGCAGCATGGATAGCCTGATCCCACACAAATCATGTCCTGCCTTCAACAAGAGTCCCGGCAAAGCTGAAATGGCCGAGTTTGTCTCCCACTACGCCGCTCATGTCTCGGCGAGACTGGAGCGATTCTGCCCCTTTAAACTGGAGGACAATGACATTGTTGGCCTCCAAGGGCTCTGCGGCTATGAATCGGCCATTCGCGGGGAGAGGAGCCCGTTGTGTGCAGTGTTTACTGATTCAGAATGGATGGCCTACGAGTATGCGTGGGATTTGCGTTATGCTCACATGATGGGGCCGTTGAACCCTCTATCACCCTACCTGGGATTTCCCTGGATCCAGGCGCAGAGTGAGCTGTTTCAACAATTGGACTCGAACGCACCTGATGACCCTGAAGGCCAATCCACGGGACCTGGATGGCCCAAGGACCAGCGATTTTTCCTGAGCTTCTCCCACCGCGAAGTACCCCCGTTTGTGGCAACGTCGTTGGGCATCTTCAATTCATCTTCCGCGGCCCTGGAAGAGTTTCCGACTGACCACGTCAATTGGGTTCGAGCATGGCGGATGAGTGATCTGATCCCATTTTTGGGCCACGTGGGAATGGAGAAGATGTCATGTGACGAGCGACCAGGGCAGCAGGGGGACTATATCCGCGTCATTGCCAACACCGCACCACGGCCTATCCCACAGTGTCAGGATGGACCAGGCGCAAGCTGTCCACTCGACAAGTTCGCAGACGCCATCGCCAAAGGTGCAAACAAGTACGGTGACTTCCATTCGGTCTGCGGTGATAGCCCCAAGTAATAGATAGACATGTTGTGGACGAGAGAGCGTAGCGACAACCTTGGCCTGCGGTGAAGAAACTCACAACCATTCAATAAGAATTGCTTCTGCTGTAGGCTGCCGATGTGGTGTGATTCAGCTGTGCCACACCGAGGCATGCGATCTACCTTAGGTCTTGATGCGCCTCTGGTTGAACCAGATCTTGATCACGTGAGCAATATGAAAAGTCCACGATGGTCGATTTTGGCACGTGATGTGGTCTTGTGCATCCTTGAGGCAGGAGCAACACACTTGTTGGAATTACAATTCTCAAGATCAAACTCGCACCCGCCATCCATGAGTTTTCTGAATCTTCTTCCCTCTTCAACTTCTACCAAGAAGCGTCAGTCGTCTGAGTGAAGCTGAAGAGATCGAAATCATCCATTGCTAGACCCTTGGCGAGGCTTTTGTCCCACCTGGGGAATGGCCACGCAACCTGCATACTCGTACATACTCGTATCCAGAAGAGAGCGTCTTCGACTGGCTGAACAAAGGAACGCGCGCTCTCTCTCTTCTCAGTGGGCACCTGTCGAGTGATCCCCCACAGGAAACGAACGCCGAGGAGCAGAAAAGAGGCTGCCGAGTGTCCACTATCGGAAAGGTTGGATGAGCATCGTTGGAGGGGTGGAGGGGTGCTGAGAGTTTTCTGGCTTCTGCTTACTAGTTCATCTGCCCAGGCGCCTGAACGTCCTCTCGCCCTGTCCTCGCCCCGTCCTCGCCCTATCCTGGCCCGAGGGGCCCTATCCTCGCCCGCCATGACTCTTATCCACTCGCAAGGTCCCCCTCCATGGCGTTGTTCAACCCGGTCACCATTAACTCCGAAAGGCGCTCGCCCAATGCAAATGTGCAGCCATACCCGGGCTTCCGGTCAGCTGCAATCCGCCGCATCCAGAAGGTGTCTGCGACAAGAACTGGTTTCGAAACGCTCTTCGTCGCCAACCCGACACAGCCTCAAAGACATACCATCTGATCCGTTTCTTCGTCCTCCTCCGCGGATGAGAATCCCAACGTCGGCTGTATCATTCATTCATTATTGATATTGAGTGGTTGAATGTTCATTCTGTCTATCTCCTCTCAAACCCGCGCAAGCCCGCCTTGCGCTCCAAGCAGAATGCTGGCCTTGACCAGTTTGTGAGGCCACAACCTCCTCGAACCACCCCAGATCTCTCCACCGGAGGCAAATCGCCCTCGCCGAGTCGAGCATCGTCTCCCATATTGGAAAACACGAGTTACCAACCAGGCGTGATCGGAAATTGACCAGGAAGGGAAAAACAATCATCTCACCATGAAGGCGTCCTTTCGTGTGCCTGGCTGGGCCAGCATTGTCCTCGTCTGCCTTTCTTCATACGTCTTTGCACAGTCTGTCACCCCCTCGAATGACACTCAAGACCTCTATTCGCCGGCCACTTCACCTCGCTTTATACTGAATGGCTCACAACTCGACACAATCCCCGCCGTTCCACTTGCGCCGCTGGGTCAATATGCCGAACTGTCGCACACAACTTTTCAAAAAGTTCGAGTTCAAGGTCATATCGTTAATGTCGATGCGTCCAACGCAAACGATATCGCCAACACTCAACAATTTTCATACGTCTCCTGTGACCCTGAAGCATATTCGGGTAACCTTGGCCCGAGCGATGTCTTCAGAATCATCGTCAACTCGCCTCGCACAAACATCATCATCCTTTACAGTGAGACAAGTAACCACTGCGCGGCAACAGGATTGTCACAGTTACCCACTGTAGGGGGTATTCTGACCACAACCGACTCTCAGTTAGCTACAGCACTGGCAAACCTCAGTCTCAGTCAAGACAGCCCTGGTGTTGCCACAATCTTCCCAGACATGACTTCGTACACGAATTCTAGTCAAAGTGGCTGGGGCCAGGGATCTGGCGCTTTTGGTCAGTCACCCACCACAGCCGTCGCCATGATCATTTTATACGCCATTACCGGAATCATCACCGCCCTCTTTGTAACCATCATCATCACTGGCACTATTCGTGCCCACAGACATCCAGAACGGTATGGCCCTCGCAATCTGGCTGGTCGGGGTCGACAGAGTCGCGCCAAAGGTATTGCCCGTGCCATGCTGGAAACACTGCCCATTGTCAAGTTTGGCGATCATGACCAGGCCTCCAAAAAGTCGACCGACGGAAATGACATTGAGATGAATGACTCTCATAATACCCAGACTGCAGATTCTGCCAAAGCGCCCCCCAACGTCGCTGCTCAGGCGGTTTCTGATCCCAAAGCATCCCCCGATGCCAAAGCCCAGGACCACCCAGGCGCTGTCGTTGCGACAAATAACGCAGATGGTACTGATGCTGAGGGCCATCTCGGATGCTCCATTTGCACGGATGAGTTTCAGAAAGGGCAGGAGCTCCGCGTCTTGCCTTGCAACCATAAGTTCCACCCTGACTGCGTCGATCCGTGGCTGTTGAATGTCAGCGGTACTTGCCCGTTGTGTCGTATCGATTTGAGGCCTCCTAATTCAACACTTGACCCTGATGCCCCGAGTAACTCCTCGGTTGATGGAGCCGCTGGCGATGGCGTCCCACCGCTGGGTGATCACCCTCCTGACATTGGTTCCAATCAAGGGGCCCGGAGAGACTCCACGAGTCACCTGCGCGACTTGGCGTCTGGAACAAGAGACGAACGGATTACGGCCCTCCGGCGTCTGCGATTAGAGAGACTGCATCATCCCACTGACGCCGAACGACAGGGTCTTACAAGCAGATTCCGGGAGCGCTTCAGGATACGAACAGAGCGCCGAGGGGCCACGGTTGAGCCTAGCAGGCGCCGTAGCTCTGCCGTCAATGTTCCGTCAACCTTCTTTGGCTAATATGCCTTGATATGATTCTATCTAGATGCCAGAAAGTCGAACTTGGTATCTAAGGAATGATCGCGCTCGACCACGGAAACAGTCAAATCTTCACAACTCGCAAGACTGGTGACCTTTTTATCGGTTTGTTTCCTTGTATAACGCCAGAGACTGATGATCGGCGATGAGGCCTGGACCCGTGGTTCTGCAGATGCTGAATAAATCTGGCCATGATATTGGTACGATAGTGATGTAGCTTAGCGTTGGCCAACCTTGGTAGAACATCGACTCCGCCCTGGTGGTAACCCACAACTCGTCCGCTTCTACCACGAGTACTTCACCGCTGTTCCTGCATCATCCGTCGACCGTCGGTCCCGCAAGCCTCTTAGAAGGCCATCTTGTCTGGGTCCCCGATAAGACCTAATCTCACGTGGACAAGCTAAACTTGTCCTTTTCCCGGCCGCTTACTGAGAGGAGAGTCTCGCCTCAACGTGTCGGATCTGTTCTATCTCGATTGCGGCCCGCGCATTCATATTCATTCGCATTAGTCTCAATCAATAGGTCGTCGGCTAACTGGGGTACATTATCATGTCATGGACATCTCCGAAGCCCCACCAAGTGATCAGGCCCCATACTGTTGGCCTGATAACGCTGTACCATATAAGTTGTCTGGATCCTAAGCAAGTGCCCCTCTGCTATTTCTCATGCATCTGCAATAACAATCTGCGCGCCAGCATTCCCACAAGATGGATACTCACGACAAAGATGCGACCGAAATACAGAGCGATGCTTTATCCTTTCCAGTGTCCCAGAAAGTCTCTTCTGATAAAGATGACGGGAAACCAGACTCCCGAGAGATCTTCAAGGACTCAGCTGATGGTGTCAAATTCCGGACTGTCAGTTGGCAGCGCGCTACTATCATTTTCCTTAAGATCCAGTTTGCCATGAGCATCCTAAGCGTTCCGGGGGCGTTGGCGACGTTGGGCGCTGTCGGTGGTGCTTTATCCATTGTCGGTTGGGAAGTCTTGAACACCTGTGAGGAGTTATAGTAATTGGTTTGCGAGACCTTAAGACTGACTAGACATGCTAGACACGGCTGTTATCTTGGGAGACTTCAGAAATCGCCACCCCGAATGTCATAGTAAGTGGCACTAGGCATCCAACGGTGACCGCCGATACTCATCTGTTACTTAGCCCTGGCCGATATGTGTGGATTCCTGTGGGGAAAGATTGGGAGAGAGCTTGTCATGATGCAAATTCTCGTCGCACAGGTCCTCATCACAGCTGCTGGCATCGTGTCTTGTTCGACTGCATTCAACGCCCTGTCTGAGCATGGGGCTTGCACAGTTGTCTTCAGCTTTGTGTCCGCTGTTCTTATCACTGGCTTCTCCTCCGTCCGCACCTTTTCTCGATTGGGCTGGCTGACTTGGATTGGATTCTTCACGTTTTTCATCGCTGTCTTCATCTTTGTAGTAGCTGTGACACAGCAAGACAGGCCTGCGGCTGCGCCACCTACGGGAGATTTCGATCTAGGCTGGACTGCGATTGCCTACCCAACATTCGTGGCAGGCATGACTGCAAGTGCTAATATTTTTATTAGCGGCAGTGGATCATCAATGTACCTGCCCGTCATTTCAGAGATGAAAAAGCCTAGCGACTATCGCAAGGCTGCCATTGTGACTGGAATCCTCGTCGGGGCGATGTACCTCAGTTTCTCACTGGTGATCTATCGCTGGTGTGGCGTTTGGCTGACGACCCCTGCCTTTGGAAGCGCTGGACCTCTGTTTAAGAAGATATCCTATGGAATCGCCTTGCCCGGACTTGTCATCGGCGTGGGAATTTACCAACATGTCGCTGCAAAGCTTATCTTTGTCCGCCTTCTTCGTGAATCTCGACACCTCCAGGAGAATACCGTAACCCACTGGTCCATCTGGTTAGGCAGCAACCTCATCCTTGGTGTTCTCGGTTTCATCATCGCAGAAGCAGTGCCTATCCTCAATTATCTTCTTGGTCTGGCTGGCTCATTGTGCTTCGCGCCATTTAGCTTAGTCTTTCCAGCGTTATTGTGGATGTACGATTTCAAGCCGTATAGACGAGGTAGCATGACGCAGAAGTTGGTCTATACTGCCCACGGCCTCATTGTCCTCATTGGGTTATTTATGGTGGTTGGTGGAACGTAAGGCTGTTCTAATCTGATGCTCTTACTCTGGCTGACAATTTTGCAGTTATGGCGTTGCCGTATCGATCAAAGAGGCCTATGCGAGCGGTCTTATTGATAAAGTGTTCAATTGCGCCGACAACTCCGGTACCATCTCATAACTGGCATTCAAAGGCATATACCCTTTCTAGCCGTTGGCAAGAACGACCTGAAAACGACCTTCTGACAACTCGCCTGTGGAGGCGTAAGTGGTCGGTTACTCTATTCTATGTATGCCGGATGTACAACGTTTATGTAACCATTTAGTTCAGAGGTGCAATCAGGATCGTAACTTTTTTGAGATAGGGAATGAAGACGGACCTCCCCGAGGCCGTCAGATTCGGCACCCTATGTCCCCTTCGCGTTCGCTATTGGAAGGAGGGCATGTCCGGACTTGGATCAAACTCTAAGCCTTCATAGACATGGCTAGGTTTGTTCATGATATGCTCTCTCCTTGAAGCTTTCCGCGCCCAGAATTTAGCGCCGTCTTGGATGGCAATGTAACTCCAGTTGGATCCGCCTCTCAGCCATCTACGAAGAAGTCGATTACATCACCATTGCAGCACAGAACCAGGGTTTCCTTCTTTCGTGCTGACCAACCTCGAAAATGCATTTTCGGCCTCCACAGTTGAGTAGCACAAGAGCCTAGAGCGAAGGGTCGCGCCTTGAAACCGTGTTGTATGACGTGACAATGAACTCATGACGCTCTGCGCGTGGGTAGACGACTCTACCAGACTCCCCAAGCCCTGGCAATATGATTCGCTTGATGTTTTCTTCACAACCTGGCTGCTATGGCTACCTCACGGAGTACACAGCAGGGTGAATGATTGAGTTTGGGCTGGCGAGGCCTAAAGCGGGTTGCTCCATCCACGCGTGTGCGATGAATCCACGAGTTGTAATTCAATCTACTACCCGAGGTGGATCGATCTAATAAAGATATCTTCACAAGTGGAGATATGTCGTTTACGCCACTTCGGGCTTCTGTTCAAGGAAAAGATTCTTCTATATCTTAGGGTTGTAAGTACCTGCCCACTGTATTCTGATGGTAAGCGTTCGTAATTCTGTCTGATACACTCTTAATCGGTTCAATATCTATTTGCAAAGATGAGCTCAAAGATGTTTACCTCTGGTGCCGACATTGCAAGTTCCCTCTCCCACCACATAAAGGATCCATCACAAAAGGCCCATTCGCCAGAACAGACAGTACCACAATTCAACGGACTGGAACTTGTATCAGAGACTGACCTATCGTTCGGATCCATTCTGAAAGGCACTGCGGTGAAACCATTGACAGTCTTTGAGAGAAAGGCGGCACTGATCAATGCGTAAGAACATATCCATCCCGATAATTCTCTCGCTGATACGACACTTTGCCTGTATAGTGAATTTGACAAGTTTGGACTCGGTCGCTATCAGATCTGCATCTGGTTTCTTTGCGGGTTCGGCTATTTCCTTGACCTTGCATGGGCGCAAGGTGTCGGTCTAATTGCCACAGCGGTATAGTAGGTTGCATATCCTGTGACTATGAAAGAGTCGTCCAATAAATCCATGTCCTCAGGCTGATGAGTTTATACGGCAGCCAGGAAATGGGCGTTGCACCAAGTGACTAGTCAGTGTTTCTCACCATAATAGATGGACCTGTCTGAAAGTTCTGACATCTTCTCCCAGCGGAAACATCTGGGCTTTGGCCAATGCAGGGTTGGCGTAAGCAACATCAATGCTGTCAACATGGGTTGAGCGCTAATAGTTTGCTAGGATTGGAGCTTTTTCATTCGGGCTTCTCGTCGACATTATCGGGAGACGTTGGGCGTTCAACCTCACATGCCTAATCACATCAGTCTTTGGCATGCTGCTGGTAAGTCGGCAGGCAACTTGAAACTCCGGTGTTCATTTCTTCTTACCATAGTCGAAATAGGCTGCACCAAAGTACAACTACGGAGCGATCTGTGGCATCTACTTCCTCGCTTCTCTTGGACTAGGAGGCAATATTCCAATTGATGCCACGATTGCGCTTGAGTTCCTGCCACAGAATCGGAGATTTCTGGTCTCATTACTATCCATGTGGCAGCCCATTGGAGTTGTCGTGGCATCTGCGATTGCATATGGCACTGCTGCTAGGTATCGATGTGAGCCAACGCTCCCTGCTTGCAACGCCGTGGAATCTGGCGAACCGTGTTGCTCAGTCTCCAGTAATATGGGTTGGCGATATCAGGTCATTGTGCTAGGCTGCATGACTCTGACAGTGTTCTTTTTGCGCTTCTTTGTATTCCGCTTTCATGAGTCACCGAAATTTCTGATCAGCAAGGGCAGAGAAGCTGAAGCAATTGAGGTGCTTCACAAAATCGCAAAATTCAACAAAGCCCCTCCACCCACGTTGACAATCGAACAGTTCCAGGACATTGACCGCACTGCTGGTCCAGTTGACACCAGGCAGACAACCAAGAATGTATTGAAGAACTTTCTGGATCATTTCAGGCACTTGAAGGGTCTATTCACGAGTCGACTCCAGGCATTCATTTTTGTTCTTCTGGGGATCGCATACATGGTTTGTCCTTGCAATGCTCTGCTTCGAAGATAAACTTATTCCTGCGCAGGGTGACTATTGGTCGTTCAATCTTGCCGGTGCCTACCTCCCGATTGTGTTATTGCAATTCAATGTGTCCACAGGCTCTGGCACCGTTACCGAGACGTACAGGCAGTACGTGTATATCTATCTTCCTGGCATCTTGGGCGCAGTCCTTGCTCTGATATCGGTACAATTACCTCTCGTGGGCAGGAAGTGGTCTTTGGTCTTCTCTGCACTTTGTCAGGGCCTTTCCATGGCATTGTACACCCAAGTCAGGTCAACCGCCGGATATGTGGGTTTGAACGCGCTCGAATATGTTATGCAAACGGTAGGTTGCAGTCAAATTCGGAGAAGGCAAAGCTGACTTCTGGTTACTCAGTACTTCAACGCTGTGCTGTACGCATCCGCACCAGAGCTTTTTGACACTGCTTATCGTGGGAGTGCGAGTGGCATGTTGTCATGCCTCGGGAGATTGGCTGGCATTGTGGCACCATTTGCTGGTAAGATGACATCTTCTGCGTGATCTTGGAGATTTTATTGACATTTTCCTCAGGGGCACGGTACATTGCCAACGATAGCTCGGGGATTCTGTGGCTAGGAGCTGGAGGGATTTGGCTCGCTGCATTTGTTATGATTTTCCTGCCCGTGGAGATGAGGAATCGACAGATGTTCTAACCAAGCCTATGCTTGGTGCGGGGATCCAGGGGCCAAAAGGCTTGTGCCCGAGACCCAAGTCACGGCTTTGTCTTGTTGCACGGCGCCCGCAAGCCACTCAAAAGCTTCGCGATTCTTGTGTGCATGGCTTCCAGAAACCACGGTTCTGAGGCAAACCCATCCCCTGACATCAAAATTGTGGTTGTAACGCAAAGATCATCGAGGTATCTCGCGGCCATGAAGATGTCGCACCGCCTAAGTACCTTTGGTGAGCCTCTACAATTACTGGCTGCCATATCCCCCGCATTTTTTCACCATTACTTGAATAGTGATAGTGTCGGTGAGCGAATCTCAGCTTCCTTTTGATCATGGCTGAGCCGAAAGACACCTACTTGATGATGTGCGAGTTGATAGAGCGCTGGAGAGGGGTCACGGCATACCTTTCCTGGACCATCGGCAGTTACTAGCACGAATTCAAGGTCTTGTGGGGTCTCAACACCCTGAGGGTAACCTCAACTATTCAGATCCAATTCATAAGACATTCTCCCTGTTGTGGCCATGATTGGCCATCATACCACCCTCCGACGGAGTTTAACCTCCACCGGATAGACAGAACAAGGACATTTTCCTGACCCTAGACGTATCTCATCCCAGATACTACCATACAGGCAACACCATGCCGTTCTTACCCAATAGCCTTGTTGCTCGTTATGACTGACCGACACAATCGCTCTCGTTTATAGCAAATTGCGGGGACGAGGGGCCAAGCATGGATCCTGGTCCCTCCGCTAGGCAATTCCAATGCCCCAGAGATGGATGCCGGCGGTGCTTGCACTCCGGGGGAAAGCAATGGCAGGTATCGACCGAATGACACTCTGGTAGCCTGGGGTGCGATTTGCTATAAAGCATGGCCTACCTCGCTTGTTTCCCTAACTTGCTTCATTCCAGATCCCTGATCCTGCGCCTAACAATCATGGACTCAAAGACACAACAGAGCCGCGTCGAGGATGACCCATCCAATAATGTTCCGGTCCCGCAAGACATTGACCTAGAATCGAAGGACGTTAAAGTTATGCACACTGATGATCCTATTCATGATGAGGTTATAGAATTTGACAAAAAGGAAACTCGAAGAATCCTGAGGAAGATTGACTATCGCTTGATCCCCCTTCTCGGAGTCTTGTACCTGTGAGTGATGTGTGTTTGGACAAGCCACTAATACTGACCAGGGTGCAGACTGGCATATCTCGACAGAAGCAACATTGGCAATGCAAGAATCGCCGGCATGTATGAAGATCTCGACCTACACGGGATGAGGTACAACACTGCCCTTACAGTATTCTTTGTGCCATACGCCTTGTTCGAAGTCCCCAGCAATATTGTGTTGAAACTCTTGCGCCCATCAATATGGATATCCATTCTCTGCTTCTCTTGGGGATTGGTCATGACACTGATGGGCATCGTCACAACCTACCATGGGCTGATCGCTGCCCGGTTCTTCCTCGGGGTGACTGAAGCTGGTTTTTTCCCCGCGGCCACATATCTGCTTACGATTTGGTACCAGAGATACGAGGTTCAGCGTCGCATGGCAATCTTCTATGCTGCCGCATCCCTATCGGGGGCCTTTTCTGGACTCCTGGCATTTGCTATTGAGAAGATGGATGGTGTCGCAGGGCTGGCCGGCTGGAAGTGGATATTCATTCTTGAGGGCCTCGCGCCTGTGGCGGTCTCCTTCACACTGTACTTCCTCCTTCCCGACAGGCCAGAAACTGCCCGGTTTCTTACCCAAAAGGAACGAAAGTTCATTGTCAACCGAATTGCGGTTGGGACAGGGTCAGGCCATGGCCGTGTGACGAACGATGACAAGATCACTATCCAACACATCAAAAGTGCGTTTACCGAGTGGAAGATTTGGATGGCTGTTATACCCTTCTGGGCCTGCAGTATCGGCACGTACGGATTCACCGCCACTGTGCCGGCTGTGGTTCGCGGCCTGGGATACACGTCAGCTCATGCACAGCTGATGACCATCCCAATTTACGTGGTGGCTATGGTGGCTACTGTAATCGTCGCGTTCTGGGCGGACTACGCGCGCCAACGAACACCGTTCATCATGGGTGGATTCGCGATAGGTGTGGCAGGTTTCATCGCCGAGCTTGCTATTCCTCACCCCCGATATCCTGGAGTGACATATTTTTTCCTCTTCCTTGTCGCAGTAGGGCTGTACTGCCCATTTACATGTATTGTCACCTTGATCGCCAACAATGTTGCACCGTCATCGAAAAGAGCAGTTGGAATGGCACTCTTGATCAGTGTTGGCAACCTAGGAGGCATTTGCGGCAGCAACATCTACTTCACAGCACAAGCACCCCGATACTATGCTGGATATGGTACAAGTCTGGGCATCTGTACTGCAGGAATAATTGCAGCATTCATCCTCCGAAAGGCTTATCAGCGGGAGAACAACAGACGGGATGAACTTATAACACGAGAGGGAGCGGATGCAATTCGCGCCAGGTACACCGAGCAAGAGTTGTTGGACTTGGGAGACAAAAGCCCTTTCTACCGATACACAACCTAACGTACGCCGTGTTGCATGAATGCTTTTAGGGGGCGGTGTCAAGAACCTGTGGTGAATTCGACGAATTTCAACCTCATCTGTGACGACCTTCTGATACTTCACATGGTTGGCAAGTCTGCGCTTACCTTTCGATTCAAAGATCCATCCCACCCACGTGCTGCGGGGATCCTTGAATGATTTTAATCTATCAAGCGACCAACCCACGAGGGGCAAGGGGATCTCAAAGGCAAAGAGGGGCGAATTAGAGCGTCGGGCTTCGGCCGAGAACGTGGGGAGCCGAGGCTTGTCACTCCTCGTTGCCCCTCTGCATCTGATGAAGCTGAATGAAAAGTACCCCAAACCAAATCTTTAACGTGTGCCCAATGCAAGTTGTCAAAGTAGAATCCACACGAGGAGCGGGCACGTCCCGGGAACTATGGTTCCGGCCGGCCTGAGGTGAGACCGCCCTCGTCTGCACAAACCATACTTAAATGACGAGCTTTCGGCCGGAAGCTTGAGTTAAAAGCTATCTCCTTTACAAAAACTTGGGTATTCTCTCTTTCCGTTCTCCATTCCCATCACCACTCGAGTAGTCATGGCGTCTCTGAAAGGTAAAACGGATCCAAGGTTCAAGAAAGTCTTGGATCTTCTAGAGGCCAACATTGGCTCTGGTGAGGAGCTAGGTGCATCTTTGGTTATCAACATTGACGGAGATGTCGTTGTTGACGTCTACGGTGGGTACGTCGACGTCGACCGCAGCAAACCGTGGGACAAGGACACTATCGTGAATGTCTGGTCATCGACCAAGACTGTGGCGACTTTAGCTCTCCTTATATTGCATGAACGGGGCCTTATCGACGTCAATGAGAATGTGGCAAAGTACTGGCCCGAGTTCGCTGCCAACGGCAAAGAAAGCGTCAAAGTTCGTCACCTAATGTCCCATACCTCTGGACTGTCAGGCTGGAACAGGCCGTTTTCAACAGAAGATGCCTACGATCTTGAAAGGTCAACGAACCTTTTGGCTGAGCAAGCTCCTTGGTGGGAGCCTGGCACCGCGTCGGGGTATCACGCGATTACTATGGGCCACTTGATTGGAGAAGTTGTACGACGAGTTACTGGTAAAAGTCTCACCCAATTCGTCGCTGATGACATTGCTGGTCCTCTGAACGCGGATTTCCAGATTGGGGCAAAACAATCAGACTGGCCAAGGATAACAAATGTCACGCCTCCCCCGCCATTTCCTTTCGATCTGAGCACCATGGACCCCGAAAGTGTCATTGTCAAAACATTCAGCGCTCCGGCATTGGACGCCAACGCTGCAAACACCGAGGGATGGCGAAAAGCCGAGATTGGTGCAGCTAATGGGCATGGCAATGCGAGGTCGCTCGCTCGAATTCTTTCTACCGTGAGCCTCGGCGGAACGGTTGATGGACATCGATTGCTGTCGTCCAAAACAATTGACATGATATTCCAAGAGCAAGCAAACAACGCAGATCTTGTCCTGGGCCAGCCAATACGATTCGGCATTGGATACGGCATTGCTGGTGGAGGCACTGAACAAACAGTTCCGTTCCTGCCAAAGGGTCAGAATCGGCGAGTAGCCTTTTGGGGTGGATGGGGCGGATCGATTAACATCATGGATGTTGATAAGAGAGTCACAATCTCGTACGTGATGAACAAGATGGGAGCAGGGACTTTAGGCTCTGAAAGGGCAGCAGCCTACCTTAAGCTGATTTATGATGTTTTGGGGGATCATTCACCCAATGCGACAGCAAAGCTTGTTTGAAGTTACTATCTGATCTTAGGTGACCTTCAAATTCCAACAACTATAGGCGCGTCATCCCAGTACTATTTTCTCCTTTGATTCTCCTCCTAATATCTACCGACAGACAAGCAAGTCGGCACTGAGTACACATCTCCAATTCACTGAGCCTTGACATGCTCGCTATGGATGAAATGATCATTGACTTTGTCTCTATTGTCAGGATCGACAGCAACGTCCTCGAGATCCTTAGGCGGCTCTTCAACCTCAGTTGCGACCTAGAGAATGTTAGCACGAAAAGATAAGAAGAAAATATAGTCTTCTTACCTTATCTCCAAAGATGGCCTCAATTTCTTCCAAGCTCTTATATCGCGTCTCCGGATAGAAGAAGTAGAACACAACTGCAAATATAGCTGATCCACAAACAAAAATAAGGAAAAATCGCCACGAAATAGTTTCTAGAGCGATTGGTGTGAACTGGATCAAAATAATGATGAGGACATGCTGTGTCATATACGCTATTGCAACACCTGTAGGGCGCATAGATGTCGGCATGATCTCGGCGGGATACTGGGGAAAACGCATTTAGGAATGTCAATATGAAATATAGAAATATTTGACTCACTGTTGCCATGAAAGTGTTTGCTGGGCCTGAGTACCCCAAGGTAACGAAGAACATGCAAGCAATAAGGCCCCGTGCAAGGCTCACGTTTGTGCTGCCGGTGTTTTCAAATACAGCCCAAGTAATACTAGTCAAGAGAGTGCCCAGGATTATCAAGCCGTAAGATATGAACTAGAACAACTGTTAGACACGACTTTTCTCCTTGTGCAGACTTTGACTTGCCATTGTCTTCCGACGCCCGAGAAGGTCAAAACAAAATGTTGCATAAACTGCAGAAATGACGCCACAGATACCCCAGACACCAGTCAAGATGAGAGACATGACACTAGTGAAGCCGATTTGTTGATAGAGAATAACCTGGTAGTTCTGAATTACCATCACACCAGACAACCTATATGTTTAGGTACAGTCGTATATGAGAGGGGATGAAACTCACATGCAAGCTATTGCGTACCAGAAAACAAGCAGAAATCGTTTTCGATACGAAGGCCTTGCCCATATGCCTCTCATGCCCAGACTCTCTTGTTTATCAAGCATAATCTGGGCCTTTATCTGATGGAACTCTCGGAGATAAAGGGTCTCATCTTCATCGTTGAAGTGCATCTTCTTGAGAATTGTTTCAGCCTGTTCGTACCTTTCTACCAGGATGAGGTATCGTGGGGATTCGGGCATCCAGAACGAAAAAATGAGCATTGCGAGGGATGTGAGGTGTTGACATCCAAGGAGGACTCTCCATGACGCGTCCCCTTTAATGAAGTAGAAGCCAAGTCCACTTTCTAGATTAGCTAGGTCCGGTAGACAACCGAGGATTCCGGTACCTACATCCATTGTGTAAAGCAGTAGGTAACGCAGATATTGAACCTTAATGAAACATATAAGCTCACCGATCGCATAATGCTAAGAACAACTCACGCAAAATATCCTCCGATGCGGCCCCTCATTCTGGGAGGGCTAATTTCAGAGGCATATGCGGGACAGACGACCAACATTAGCCCCGACGCAATGCCACCTATTACACGACCTGCACAGAATGCTCCAAAGTTGGGAGCGCCGGTCTGCAGTGCGTTCGCAATGAGAGAAATCACGCAGCCTAGCTGGATCGTCCTTAGCCGACCGTATTTATTAGGCAAGTAAAAGTTTAGTCCCATGCCGGCAACAGCACCGGCATAGTAGACTGATCCCATGACACCAATGGTATGAGCATCGAGATTGAAGTATACCAAGAATGACTCGTAAGCCAGGACCGACGTGGTACAAGCTTAGAGATATTAGCCAGGGAAACTGAACATGATCTTGAGCGACTCTTACCAGAGTCATATCCGTAGAAGACTGCGCCAAAACATACATACAAAACACACCACAGGTTATAGGTGTTCATCGTGGCGGTAGAGGTCGAGTAAGCTCCCCGTAGACCTTAGGATAGGCGATTCAAGTGTTATGCGCGCTGGTCCCACATGGTTTTATAGAATGGCCCAGGAGAATGGCCCAATATATAGACATATCATTCGTGTCTGACTCTGCCATATCCTCGGTCCAGAACACTTCCATCACCCCAGATGTCGCCCAGACTCCACTGTGTACCTACAATGGTCTCCATAACTGGAACCAGTATGCTAAGATGTGCTGATCGCGCTCACATGCTTGGAGCCTGTCTACAGAATCAAGACTGGTATCCTCGCTTCTTGGCGATGCCCCACAGGGATGTCTCGATTCTCTCTCCAGGACCGCACTATATAAGAGAATACCAAAAAGCTACGGTATGCAGGAGAATCTAGTTCAGAAGTATATGTCAGTGTGATATCCTTCGCGAGTACTTTTTCAAGGGTAGTTCGCCAGATAGCGCTGGTAGATAGTATCGGGATTTGAACAAATGGCGCTGATGTAACCCGTAACATCTCCACAGGCATACCAAGACTACCAAGATGACTTGACCTTGGGGACTCCACTCTGGGAGTCACAGAAGTCTGACAAATGAACATGCAAGCGGCGAGTCGCGACTCAGAGATCCAGAGTCATGAATATAGGCGCTGAGCCGACATCTCTGCAACAGGGAGTAAGCCCCTTTACTAGTCAGGACATGCTGGCCAGCAATGGGATCTGGGTCGCGCAGGCCCGCCATACCACACAGTATGGAGCTTTCAAACGGGTGTATATTATGGAAACTCTCCAGACCGACCGAACCCAGAATGACCACACAGAAATCTCCTCGAACAAAGGGCTATATCAATTCGACCTATCATATTGTCTTCACAAGCACATGATTTCGACCAATCTCATCTGATACCCTAGCTTTCCAACACAGTCGAGAAATACCTGAAGCAAGCTGAAATGGAAACTGGAAAGATGGAGCAGTACTGTACAGAAGCTGCTGAGATTCAGCATATTAGTGCGTTCACTCCGACAGCACTGGCACTTTCGAAAATCCTGCAGCGGGAGAGAAGCAATTGATTGCCCATTCGAAGAGTCTTTTGCAGCGCCAAAACTCCTGATCATCCCGTCGTTCTGGAGGAATAGGATCTAGCTCGAGGACATAGCAGAGGGACGCTGACTCCAGCTCATGGCTGAATATCTGACCCTCATACCAAATTCCCCAGTGGCAGCTGTGGAACTAGTTTTAGGTACAGGAGGTTGCTGTAGATTTCTATATGAGATCTAGCTGGAATCGAGAGGTTCATCCGCAGAAGCTGCATGTTCGTCATGTTCGACTGGGATTTCCACTCCAAGGTTCGGTGACAGGATAGCACTTTCACCAGAGTACGAGTACGCGACGTGTGAAGATCTGGGGCCATTTACGTCATTTTTGTTCTTGGAAGCTGGCGGCCGGCTCGTGAAAGATCAAATCACGCCTCAGTGATTCGGGTACAGTGGGCCTGCAGATGATCGACCCGCTTTAATGGAAAAGGTCAGTCTCCGCTATTTTCCCGTCGGGGACATCCTGGTCGATCACTTCACGTTGGCTAGGACGCCTGATACTTTCACTATTATTGTGAGCTTCTTGACACATGCCAGCACCTGGACTTCTCGACTCCTAAGCTGTCGCGAGAAACATTTTCTGGGAAAGAGAACGTTCAGGCGAAAACTACTCTTTGTCTTCCATGAGCAGCGCTATGCCACCCTTTAACACCTTGGTGTGACCGTCGTGGTGTATCGAGGCACACCCAAAGCCCCTGCGCCCTGTGCCATTGCTCGAATATCAGCGCAATCGTCTGCGCTTCCCTAAGCTTTCATCCCTGCCAGGAAAGTCAGCATAATCAATTATCCATTACTATTAAGGGGATTCGCTTGAAAGCCTGCACCATGGGGTCAGTTCAGAATGAGCATACAGACGGACGAGATCAGCCATCCAAGCCTCGCGGAGATGACGAACAATATCAGGGCAACAGCAATTCCTTCAATTACACAGGTTCAAAAGGACAAGTGCATAACCGGAGACATTGGCAGGATGAGCCCAACGCCGAAGGGCACGGGGAGAAGCTACCAATGAAACCCTTTTCACAAGAACATGGCGGAATCAGAGAAAGAAGAATAAAGCGCCATTGGTACCCGTATGTTGGGAACCTAGCCGGATGAAAATACCAGCATTCTCACATTTAAAAGATTCGTACTCCTTGGGATCTTCCTCAACATCAGTCTTCTGATTGGTTGTTTCTACATCATCTATGCTGCACATGTGAGTCTTGTTATGAAAGTACATGGAATCCCGTTAATACGCCCTCTAGGAGTATGCCACGGATAGAGGACGCTTCCTTGGGGTAGCTTGTGCCATCACATTCGCTCCCTTACTGCCGGCTTGCCTGTTACTCTTTTCGCCCTGGCCGTATGCGTTGAAAGAGCATCGGAATGCATTCAGCGAACGTGATTCGTGTACGTATTAGGCAATCAATAGGCTCTCTGTGCATCAGACTTAAGGCCAGTGCGACTAATGAATGCTTTAGCTCCTCGTTGGAAGAACGTTGTCAATATCCTCGCTGCTTTGGCTAGCTTTGCGATTGTTATTTGCTACCTGTTCCTAAGCGCGATTCCGACATACAACACACCGATCTGGGAGAGCGGCGTTGAGTTTCTTGATCAAGTACCGGTCCCTGCAATCGCATTTGTTATTCAGCACACAGATGGCAGTGGACGAGAGCTACCCATTAATTACACATTTATTGATGGGATCTCAGCGAGTTCTGTAACGTATACAGGTTTCGATATACAATCAACGACAGATACTCCGGGAGGGATATACTATGAAACCATCCAGCAACACCAGTATGGCTCATTCACAGCTATCGTGGCTAATAACTCTGCACTTTCACCACAAGTTGCCTCGCCAATGGGCACTGGAATTGCAGTCACTGTGTTTCTAACCTGTGAGACCCCTTTGTTACATGTCAGTACTTAGCTGTATCCTTTCTGA